TCACCAGCAGCTCCAATTAACCAATTAAGGAAACTTGTGGTTGTGCACCACAAAATCTTGGAGGGGGAAGCATCTGCACATACTTGAGAAGACAAACAGGAAGTGGAGGGAAAAGAGAGAGAGAGAGAGAGAGAGTTTTGGGGGATGAGAAAATGGGAAATCTGCTTTATTTGAAAATAACATCGCTGCAAACGTACAGGGTGTCCTTGACTTACAACGGTTTGTTTAGTGACCGCTCAAAGTTACAACAGCACTGGGGAAAAAGGGACTTACGACCCTGTTTCACACTTACGACCATTTTTCACCCTTACAATCATTGCCGCATCCCCACGGTCACGTGATCAATATTCAGACGCTTAGCAATTGACTCGTATTTATGACGGTCGCAGTGTCCCGGGGTCAGGTGATTCCCCTTTTGCGATCTTCCGATAAGCAGGGGAGCCAGGTTTGTTTAACGACCGTGCTACTAACTTAACCACTGCAGTGATTCGCTTAACAACCGGGGCAAAGCTCGCTTAATGACCGTCTGGCTTAGCAACAGAAATTTTGGGCTCAATTGTGGTCGTAAGGCGAGGACCACCTGTAGATAAAAAAAACCTGAGTTTTATCTTTTGGCACGCTGTCCGAACGAAAGAAAATTACTAGCCTGAATTCAACAACAACAAGAAAAATCACACTAGGAAATGATGTTTCGGTGCATTCAAAGGCCTGCAAGAAATTTGGAGGAAGTGATCCTTAAACACGCAACCCCCCTAAAAGTGTTGACTTCACATAGCAGTAAATTAAGCATTGTGTGTTCAGCTCAATACGATCAAGATCTCTTTCCGGATAAAGAGGGGAGGGACAATTAACCGCCCACTGTCTGTGAGATTCATTCCACAATGTCCACCTTTTTGCGCAACTGTAGAAAATGAGCACCTTCTAACAGATGGCTAATTTAAGTGGCAGCCTCTTCCTGAGGCAAATGGAGAATTTAAATTTCTCGCTCTGCTCTCTGAAAATAATTTCCAGGCACGGAAATGTAAATATGGCTCACTGTAAACAGCAGACAGGGGGAATGAGTGAGAAATTTAGGATCAATTAAAACAAGCTTCACCCGAGGATTGTTTTTCAAAGCCACAAGTTATTTTTAGTGAGAATCATAACAGTATGAGGAAACACAAACCATTCTATAGACAGGGCGTAGAGAAGGAAATTATTTGGAGGTTTAAAAGCCTCTAATGACTACAGATAAATTGAAACAAACTGATTTATGCACCGCCACTGCAGATATTAGCTGCTAATCGCCTGAAATTAATGCCATTAATTAGTGTTGATTCCTGACTATAGACAGCTTTTTCAGAAGCAGAGGGCGATGAAATATATGGGATTATTTCAGCATATCTCCGAGATATTTATCAACTGTCTTCTCCAGAGCGGTCTTTTCAAGTATTCCATGTGTAATGCAGCCTGACCGCTGAAACAGCGGGAGAGCATGCTTCCTACACATATCAGTGAAGAATTAGGTCACGCGAGTTACACTAATCTATACAAATCCATAATTTATAATGGGACTGTCAAATCAAGAGACTTGATGTGTTAATGCTATGGAGATATCTTTCATAAGTGTAGCTGGTCGGCCGCAGGTTCAGCTCTGGACCAGGTGGGTCAACTGGTAGCTGTGATGTCCCTCTTTGCAGATCTGAATCTTTTTTTCCCCACCATTGCTACAAGGAGAGCTTGTCACCATTCCTCACTCTTCTGTGGCAAGACATGCATCCAACCGGTAGCGCAATAGCTACAACAGGCTTACTAGAGGTTTAAAACCCCAGCTCTTCTCAAAAATCAAGCCACTTCCTTTGGATCACTACATATATGAAATGTGTCCCCAAAGGTCATTTAGGCCTGTTCTGTAGTGATGAGAATCTTGTGCTACCTTAAGTCTTTCAAACTACTGAGACGCTGAAATTATTCTAAAACTGAGGCTAGTGCGACTATAAATAGTCCTGACTTACCCCCGTTTTGCTTAGTGACCATTTGCAACGACACCGAAAAAGTAACATGACTATTTTTCAGTGTTACAACGCTTGCAACATCCCCATGGTCACGTGATCTACATTCAGACTCATAGTTATGACGCGTGGTGTCCTGGGGCCCTGTAATCCCTTTTTATGACGTTCTATAACAAGCAGGGAAGCAAGATTCGTTTAACAACTGTGTTACTTAACCACGACGTTGATTCATTTAACAACCTGGGCGAGAAAGAAATGTCGCAAAATGGAACCTAACTCACTTAACAATTGAGATTACGCTTAGTAACAGGGATGTTCCCTCGTGGCCGGTAAGCTGAAGACTACTGATGCCGAGTTTTGTCGGCTTTGACTCTACGGTGGAAACAATGGCTTGCAACAAACCACAAAGCCGTAGGGGCCAGTGTTTTAAATCAATGTAGCTGTGGATTTATAGAAGCATATTTTACATTTTATATTTAGCTGCTGGGAGTGCTTCCTTTCCTTTATTTCTGAGTAGAGCACAGAAACATGTCTCCAGCTACTAGCATCAACACTATAAAGATTCAAAGTATATAGTATGTTCTACAAGGAGAAAGCAGTAAAAGCTATTTATTATTATATAACCCTGATAATAAAGAGCTATTGAGACAAGAACCTCTGCCGTGCCTTTGTTGCAAAATATGGACCTTAGGGCTTTCTCTTACAAACTTCTCAAAAACCTCCCGCTTTTGGGCCAGATGGCAGACACTTATATGTTATACCATCGATCATTGCAAGGCGCAAAATCACATCTGAATGCAAATATTAGTGGAATATTTGCACTCTTAGAACTTGTTTAGCTTGACTAAAGCAACTGCAATGCCAACATCAATTTTGGAAAACCGACTCTATCTAATTGTCCATGACTGAAAGAAGGTATGCCATGTTAACAGTTAACACTGACTTTTTTTCTGACACAGGATCCAAGTTTTATATATATATTCCTTTAGTCCTTTTATAAGCTATGGTAACCCTCTTTCTTTCCTCTCTGTTGTAAGTTGTGCTTGAAACAATAATGTTGCACTGACAGTTGAACTGAATAATACTCTCAAACAATACAAAATCAGCGCATGCAACTCTGAACTGTTTTATTTCAGCAACAATTACTTGGTTTCTCTATTATTATTTTTTAACGTATTTATTTCCATGCTGTCCCTAATGAAAAGCAAATGGAAATTAGGACAGAGCTACAAGCAAAATCTTGTCAAATATTCTCTCACAGGAATTACCTCCAGAGAGGCAAGATTTACATAAATTGGAGTATCTTTCCTCTTTTTAATCTATAATTTATTAATATAGGTGGGTGCGGCTAGCTATTTACAAACTACGTTAGAGCATCTTCCATCAGATCCCTATGTAGTATCTATTCAAACAAGTTGATCTTGCAGATTGACAACAGCTCTGCACAACTCACAACATTGCATAATAGATCGCACCAAGTATGTTACAACTGCTGAACCAGACCGTTTCTGTGGAAAACACTGCAGAATAATATGACTTGAAAGTTTATTTATTCACTCACAGCGGTGGACTCCTCTATAAGGATTGTGACAAATAGTTTAAAAAAACTCCCCTTGGCTTTAAAATTTGTCATATGGCAGTCGGATCTGTTCTTTCAGAAATATATCAAGAACACCCATGGATGCTAAAGCAGTTATTCTGATCCAGGCCAAATTTTTGACAGGTCCTGACACGCTATACTGTTTTGGGAGTATCTGTTGCAGCTAAGCCACGTTCTTTCGTCGTATATATTTATCACACAAAATATAGGCCCAGGAACAAAAACCCATTTCGTTGCAGTCAGTATGATGCAGATAAAATGGACAAGGCGGTCCGGATTAAATTTGAATCGATTCTCAAGTGAAACTAAAGGCCGCCTTTGAACAAGGTGAGTTGTAGTAAGTAAATTCAGTTTACTGTTTGGTTCACTAAGAAAGCTGAAAGTAAGAAAATGGCTTGTATTTACGATAGTTGTGGTGTCCCTGGGTCATGTGATCACCTTTTGGGACCTTCATAAAAGCCATGATTGTAACAGCTGGAGCGTAACAACCAATTTCACAACTGCAGCGATTGTCTTTACAACGGTGGCAAGACAGACTGTAAAATGGGGCAAAATTCATTTAACAACTCTCGTTTGGAACAGAGAGTTGTGCTCATGAGTCAAGGACTACCTGTACACAGATCAACATCACATGTATGTAGAAAGGGTCGTGGCTTATTGATCACGCGGTCACATCTTTGTTTTTCTCGCCCTTCCCAGAGATGTCACTATATACCCAATTTTCTGCTTCTAATTACATCAGGAGCAAAAGACTCTTAAAATGAGCATAACTGCCTGTTTGTTTTTCCTCATTTGAGGCTGTTAGTATTCTTCTCCATTTGAGATAAATCCAGTTGGGAAAATAAGGCTTCCCAATAAGGAGGAAAGCATTGTGTTAACAATGATTTAGAATAAGAGTGTGCAGTTCCTTAGAGCAAAAAGGTACTTCAGAGAATGCAGATAACAATAATGCAACTCTCTGTAGTTTTTCCTGAAATCTTGCTTATCATGGTATAAAGCAGCCATACACTCCAGGGTAAAATTAAAAAAAAGCTGCTTGAAAGAAATGCAGACAATGGCTACAATATCAGTGTTTCTCAACCTTGACAATTTTAAGGCGTGTGGACTTCAACTCCCAGAATTCCACAGCCAGCATTGCTGGCTGTGGAATTCTGGAAGTTGAAGTCCACATGCCTTAAAATTGTCAAGGTTGAGAAACATTGGGCTACATGAATGCCTTGTGGTAAATTGAATAAAACAACATACTATTTAAACATTATTTATACGGCAGAAAATTTCTGCCCGGCAATGCATCCCACTTACATTGCCGTTTTCTTTGGCAGGCTAGAGATGTTTTGAAGGAAAATAAAAAGGGGAGGCGATGAACTAAAACTTTTTTCAAACCCCAAATTCTGGCCCTCGATACTTACGATCTTCCCCAGGACACGGCAAGCCGGGCTGTTCTGGAATGCTTGGGAAGACTGCATCAAAACATAAAATACGCATCATAAATATATATATATATTTCCTAAAGAGCAGTCTTTCCTAGCTACTCAGTCTTTTGAATAAATCGCCAGTGACAGACTACTTCCTCAGTCACAAAACTGGGACTCTAAAAATATGACAGTCCTTTGCAGACTTCGTTGCAGGCACCCCAGTTACTGAAGTCAAAGTCAGGCTAAGCAACATACACAAAAGAGATATTGGCAGTATGAATAAAACTCAAAAAAAAAAAAAAAGAAAGGATGTGCAAGGAGTGCTCTCATACAAGAAGCATACATTCAAGAGAAGAAATACAAAAAGATTCAGGTGAACTTGCAAATCAGAACAATACACTTAAGAGGAAGAAGCTGCAGAAGGTAAATTCCTATTTTTTTGTATGTGTGGAGGTTGAACAAACAGCTTACAATTATAACCACGTCTCATTTATTTTATCATTTAAGACATTTATACACCAATCCTGCTTGATCAAACTGTGGCTCCTAAGATCAAGACGCAAAGTTGTGAGACAAGAAAAGAGCAATGAAACACGCCAGTGACAATTAACAAATGTCTAAAGCCCGTAAAAGAGTGATTTGATTAAACCAGGCAAGGAACTCTTAAGGGCCTCCCCCAAAAGTGACAATCTTCACCTCAAAGAGGTTTTAATAGCAAGAACGGTCCTCTTGGGAAAATGGTCCACAGCTCAAACAGAGAAAAGAAATTTCACCAGTGGCTTGGAAACCAAAGAAACAACAAAGCAGATCTTCTGGTTATTTGTTGCGGTAGGTAGACAGGATTGTGTTACAAGTGTAAAGTGGGTAAGGATCAGATCTTAGGGTTCAGCATCAATCCAAAGAAGAGGGCGGTCGATGCCCCAACACTTGCATTTTGAGCTGGCTTGAGAAAGAAGACAGAGCGGAAGAACAAAAGCAGGTTTTCTGATCTGAGAAGGTATCATTCGAAATGTTGGCTAAACTACGAGTCTCAAAACTTGCCATGAATAATAAGCCCTTCGTCTCTGTAACGACAATACAAACGGAATGCTTCTTCCAGCTCCATCTGGGATGAAATGGTACAGGGATCACCTGTTTTAAAAAAAAGAAAACAAAGAAATAATGTCATTTAGGGAAGCAATCCATGTACGCAACTCTCTCATTTAAAATAGGTGTTTTTTTCCCCCTGATTTTCAAACAGTGCAATTTGGAGATCATGGGAATTCATTTATACATTTCAGAACGGGGGGAAGGGACACTTAGCGGTTGAAAAACAATTGTTCTGGGACTCGGAGACCCTTCCCTTCATAAATGTGAGTGTAGCTCTGTCTCGTAGTAGTTACTCACTGGAAGGGCTATGGGAAAATGATAAGCCTGTTTCATCCTGGCATGAAAATAAAACACTAAAAATCAGGATAGTAGAGGGTAGAACTGGCTATTCATTCCATCAATCACCACTTTTTCCCTCTAATTAGCAGAGCAAACATTTAAAAGGATAGCAATCATTCTGCAGGATCATTTAGTGTGTTATTATGTCTTCCTTTGTTGGCAAACACCCTTTTTGGGAAGCAAATTCTCAACAGACAATTGATGGATCCTGTCGGTGTTTACACAGAAAAGGTCATGGAATTTAATGTCACTTATTCTGAGAAAAGCATGAAGTGAGGTCCCCAAAGAATAGTGTGAAACAACTCAAGTTAGAAAGCACCAGAATTTGAATATACCAGTCCCTCTATATTATTGTTTATACTGACTGAAGAACAAGCTAACTATGCTTTAAGGAAACAATTGTTTCTCTCTTCGATTATTTTTAAGAAGTTTTAAGAAGGCTCCTTGATGCTTTCAAGTTTTAAGTGAGGATCTCCAACGTTTGTGGTACCCACAAATTGATACAAAGAGTGAAGGGTCTTAGGGGGGTCCTACTGCCCCAATTCCAGCCAGCCAGGCCTTCTCATCTTGAAACAGCTGGAAATTTTCAGGTAGTCCTCGACTTACGACAACTATTGTAAGTTGAGGATCACCTGGGTATAGAAGAAGCCAAATTCTTCCTTTCTCTCTCTAGCTGGTACAAAGAAAGGGAGGTCTATACATGAAGTCCTTGAAATAGTCCTATAATAAAGACTGCCTATAATGGTCATATACCATGATGGTTGTAAATCCAGTCAATTACAGGACCAACTGGATTTTTTTCTGGGGCAACCATTAAGCAAAGGCTGCAGACATTTAGCAGAACCATTCTTTGTTAAGGCACCGTTTTCCTGAACACCAAAGTTAACTTTCAATTTTCAGCAAAACCATCATAAGATGCAGTCAATTCATGATGTAATGTCTAAAGGGAAATTATTGCTAGTTTGAATATCTGAGGCTATTAATTCAAAATAAAGGGAGATATAATACGCCCCTAATGACTTCAGTTTTTTATTTCTCTAATCTGAAGCTGCCAATTGAGTGACAGTTCCAAAAAAGCTTTTGAAATAAAAAGTTACCTGTTTAATATCTCTTTTTTCGGTGGGATAATTAACTGGACCATAAAGTACTTTAGGAAAAAAATATATTTTTCCCCCAAAACCATGGTTACAAAAGCCTGAAATACCTTCATTATCAATCCACTTCAGGGTAATTGGTTGTTCCTGTGATAAATTGCACATTTCTCTCACTTCATCACAAAGTTCATCATAGTTCATTGAGGCACCCAAGTGGGTGATAAGGATGTCTCTGAAAGAGATTAATTCACAAATTAAGTAAAATAAGTGCTTAGTAGAGTGCCTGGTCTTTGTAAAGGCAAATTAGCTCAGTCAAGATCCTTGGCAACTTCCTACTTCAAGAAATTCGAAAGATGTTTTGAAACTATGCAACATCTGTCCACATGTAAATAAATATGAGTAAATAAATATGTGGCTTTCAAAAAGGAACGATCCCGCAGAACGTAATTGGGTAGCTATACCAAATAAATGCACTGAATCCACGAAAAGATTTGAAAGCAAGATCTGTGCATTTTTCTGATGCCCTTACAGATAGTCCTCGACTTCATTTAGTTCATTTAGAGATGGTTTGGAGTTACGACGGCACTGAAAAAAGTGACTTATGACCATTTTTCATCCTTATAATTGCAGCATTCCTAAGGTCGCTTGATTAAAACTAGGATGCTTGGCAACGGATTCAAACTTATGACCATAGCACCAGAACTTTGTCGCCACTTTTGCACTTTGTGCAAAAAGGACAGGTAGACAATTTTCAACTTACGGAAGTGAAGAACGGTTAAATAAGATTTGAAATGTTGCAGGAGATAGAAGACTTCCTACTCAGCGAGAACTGTCCTTTATTCAAAATGTCAACATGAAGCACAGTCCTGGGAAATTTCAATGAAAATACATTCCTCAACAGATTTCATTCCTGAAGGAAGATTATGTTCGCACAACCTGTATTTTAGCCATTCAGGATGAACACTTATACCACTTTAAGTAATGAATTGGTCACACCCGAAATGTACAAATATCCATCTTTTAAGCATTCAAGGAGGCGCATTAGCAAACATGAATAGTACAACTTCCTCATGCTTGCAAGACTTCAGTTTAGTCATACTATCAAAGGTGCTCTGTACCCGAAATAGACATCGTAAATAATTTAACACCTTCCCGAATAATTCTTGACACTAATTTTGTGTCTTGATGCTGGCACCTTCAGAATGCGCGACGCGTCAGATCATATAAAAATAGAAATCCTCTTCATGGTGGCAAGCTTTGGTAAAATTCTTTATACCACCCTGTACGTGTGATCAATAAAACCCAGACTGAGTAATTAAAGAATTCTACATTGTGTCAATTTAAACGCCTCCCCACTGACGGTGATGGGAAACAGAGCATGTGGTGCTGGCTACGTTTTTTCACCAAATCCATTTTACAATATGTGAAAATAAAAGAAGGTCTGAAATGAAGCTAAGAGGACCAGAATTTCTGTCGCTATGCAAGGCAGGTTGCTAAGCGAGTCCCACTCAATTTTATGACCTTTTTTGACCTGGGTTAAGTGAATCCCTGCAGCTGTTGTTGAGTAAAGCAAGTCTGCCTCCCCCTATTGATTTCATTTGTGGGAAGCCAGCTGGAAAGGTCACAAACTGTCATCACGTGCCCTGGAATTCTGCAACTGTACTACGTACATGCCAGTTGCCAAGCATCTGAATTTTGATCATGTGACCATGGAGATGCTGTGATGATCATAACTGCAAGATGGGCTGTAAGTCACTTTTTTCAGTAACTGCTAAAGGTCTCTAAATGAATCGTTGTAAGTTGAGGACTACGTGTACGGCTTGAACAACATGAGTGAAGAGCCGAGGTGGCGCAGCAGTTAGAGTGCAGTATTGCAGGCCACTTTAGCTGACTGTGTTCAGCAGATCAGCGGTTCAAATCTTACCGGCTCAAGGTTGACTCAGCCTTCCATCCTTCCGGGGTAGGTAAAATGAGGACCCAGATTGTTGGGGGCAATGTAAATATATATATATACATTGCTTACTGGTGTACACCGCTTAGAGAGTGCTTGCACTTAAAGCGGTATATAAGTCTCATAAAATAAATAAATAAATAAATAAATAAATACAGTGCATAAACACCCTTAATGTAACTTACCCATTATAATGAGTTTTTACTCTAATGAAGTCTTTCTTCGTGTTCATTTTTGATCCCATTCTGCTAGGCATGATACTATGCAACATTCAAATGGGGGAAACAATGTCCTCGTTTTATAGACTGGTCTTCCAAATCATTCAGAGAATGACGAGGGGTGCAATAAATGAACAGGCGACATTTTTATGCTTCTTCCCAGGAAAAACTTCATTAGACTGCATGCACACAAAAGTATAGACAAAAAAAAAAGAAGTGAATGGAAAACATAATAAATATTGAATTAAACCTAAAAAAGACATGCACAGTCAAACAAATCAGCTATGTAATTTATGTTCCTTTTCTTGCTACAATGAAGTTATATACTGTTGCTTAAGATTACCCCAGAAGAAGAAAAAACAACTTTGTAACGTTAGGTACCATTATATGTAAACTGTATACATTCTAGAATAGAAGTTGCCTCTGCTAAAACAAACCAGGTAACATTTTGGCCAATAACATCAGTTATCCCTGCTTGAAAACTGAATGATTTTTTTTAGCAAACAAATCTGGCTTGATTCCAAACCCTTTCCTTTCCAAGCACAAAAACTACAAAAATGTGTGATATAATCTGTTCAAAGGGATTTTTTCTTAAGTAGTTCACAACCAAAGATAAAAAGGAAAAGTTTGGACAGCCTCTAACTTCAGCTATCCTGCAATTTAGAGGTGGGGAACAATTTAGATAGCCTCTAACTTCAGCTATCCCAGAATTCCAGATCTAGCATGGCTGGCTCAGGAATTCTGGGAGTTGAAGTCCACAGGCCGTAAAAGGGCCATCGTTCCCCACCCCTGCTATAACTTCTGGATTGCCAGACAGATCTGCATTCCTCACATACCACCAGTGCCCTCTTCACATTATAATTTAAGACGAGGCAAAACACACCCTTTTCACCTTCCACTCACAGTGCCCCACCCGCTTACCACACATGCTCACCTTCTCAAGAAGACTTCCTGTTCCTTCAGCACCAAGTTTACCTCCTGGCTGAATATCCCATCACTATAATTTAGCCCAATTATATTTAATTAGAATTCTTGCATCTCCTTTTTTTATTATCCTGGCACCAATTCTTTTGTTCACTTAGTTGTATTGCTCATGGTGGGACAAAATTCCTCTCTTGCAAAAAACCTCCTCATACTGTATTAAATAACATCAGCTTACCCTTTTCCTCCCTTTGACCGAACTACTTTTGATTCATACAATAGGTATGGCCCACCCCAGGGAGCCTGACAAAAGCAGAATCTCAGATTGAAGTTCACATTCAGCCAGGGAAGCCCATTATTATTGTCCCATCTTTGGCTAAGCCAAAGATGGGACACAAATCAAATATCTCAATTTTTCTTCCCTTCTACTCCTTTCTAGCAAAGTAGACCTAATAAATATTTTCCACTGACATTATCAATCCCTCACAAAAGGGATCTATCTTACCTCCACCAGATAAGAAGCAATTACAACACACTATTATGTATAACAGTGATAAAACTCTCCTCTCTCAAACCTATTCCTTGACACTGTGTGTGTGTGTGTGTGTGTGTGTGTGTGTGTGTGTCTACTGCAGGGATACTGATGGGTCTTTATTATGACACATTTTGGATTGCAAGGTGTTGTGACAAAGGAAAGCAACACAGGAAGTATGAACAACTAACATTTATGCCTTTCACTGTGGAATACTTAATTATATGAATTATTAATATAATCTAACAGTAAACTGATCCAATAAACATATAAATGGCTGTATGTTAATAAAGTTCATACACACAAAGGTAATAGTATATACAACATTAACATTCATCATAAATGGCATACGCATGGCAGTATACTTATTGTGTATCATAGGCTTTCCATCACCTTAATACCCCTCTATTTAAATGCAGAATCATATAGTAATTCCTCACACATGCAACTTGCTTTTCCATACAACAGTATGGAAATAATTTGATGCCCCTTTCTGGGACATTTGCTTAAAGCTCTGGCATTTCCAGGTGGTCTCCCATCCCACTAGTAACTGGCTCCAAATTTTAGCTTTTTGAGATTAGACCAGGCAAGCTAGATTCTAACATCTGCTGTGGAGAGTACTGAATGATTCTGTTCATATTGTGAGAGGTTTGTGTGTATACACTGTAACACAATACATTTATGTACACTTTGTTGCCAATATTTGCTATTGTTGCTGTTCCTACGCTCCTTGGAATCCAGTTAAGACTGTTTATATATAATAGAATGTTTGATGATAATAACAAAAAGCAAAATAACACCCACAATGTTTGTATCCTTTCCACCAGTTCTCTGCCACACTAATCTAAGCTACAGAATATGATCTAATTATATACAATACATATTTACCCACAATATACACAATAATCACTGCAATTTATATACCACTACAGAGATGAAGTAGAAATAGACTCCAAGCAGCTTATGAAGTAACCAATATAAAATTAAAAACAAATCAATACTTAATTTACAGAGAGAATTCTAATTGTAGCTGTAATAGAGACTATATTCTCTCTTATCCTCTGTTGGCTCTGCCCCATCTGAACTTCTCCTAAACGTCAAATTCATCTATATTCAGCTAAAGAAGATGGTCTAGTTAGATATGTGGAGAGAGAGAGAGAATACTATGAATATTAGTAGTAAGGGAAAGGCTTTCTCCTAAACTTCTCTGTGGACTCTAACAACACAATGTTGTTGTGACTGCTGTTGTTAGGGGTTTTGAGTCAATCCTGATTCCCGGAGACACCGAGAACAAATGCACGTCGCTCTCTTACAAACATTTTTCAGAAGTGGCTTGCCAAATATCTTCCTTCTCCCAGAGGGGAAAAAAAAAAGAGCCACTATCCAGAATTTGCCCTGTTGGCTTTCGGTCTGAGGCAGGATTAGAACTCACCTCTTTCAGCTTGGAATCCAGCTCCTTCCCGCCAACCGCTCTTAAGAACAATAAATAAAACAATTAGTCCTATTGGGAGAGAAAGATGAATATTAATAAATTAATAATAAAAAGCAGCAATAGCCCTGTCTTTGGAGTCCCCCGCTAGTTTAGCTTCCTGCCTTGGATAATGGGGGAGGGGGATGCTTGGGAGTTATCTTTTCTGATTGCCCACCCCTCTCACCCTCACTTGCCCCCTTTATTCCCGGCTTCACCTGTTGGCCCCCTTTCCCTCCCTCCACTCCTCCCCACCGGCCTCCTAGTTCCCCCCTCCCAAAAAGCTCACCTGTTTTGGGCGGGGTCTCTCCTTCTTACAGGTATTGTCACCCCCTCCCTCAGTTGATGAGGTGACGGGGAGGGGGGGAGGAGGGTCGGTCGCCTCTCCACACTTCCCGCCTCGCTCCGGGAAAGGCTCGCGCTCCGCGGAAGTTCGGCTCCAACTTCCCGGAGGAGGAGACAAGAGGGAAGGGCTCCAAGTCGCCCTTCGCGTCCGCCCCTTCCTGACAGGATGATTAGGATTAGGATTGTTTTTTTTCGTTTCGCTTCGGTTTTTTTTTTTCTTTTCTTTTCTTCTTCTCCCCCTTGGAGGAGGAGGCGCGTTCCCGAGCGCGCGAGCAGGTAATGGCGGCGCGCTCCCGCCGCCTCGCTCACCCCCTCAGCGACCCCCCCCTCCCAGCTGCCCTCCGCGCAGCCGCTCTCCCGCCTCCCAACATGGCGGTCCCGCCTCCCCGCGGGACGCGTCCCTCTCAGCCCCGGCCGCTCCGCCCTCTCCGCGCGCGCGCGCCCGCCTCCCAGCCAATGGCTTGCTTGCTAGCTCCCGCCTCTCCGCACCTGCTGGCCTATAGGAAGCCAGGGCCGGGCTGGCGCTTCACCTAAAGCCATCGCCCTCCCCTCGGAGCAGGGGCTTAGCCAATCAGAGCTCGTCAAGACGTCCTTACCTGGCGCCGAGGGGCGGGGCGGAACCCGAGAAAGGGGAGGAGGAGACTCACCTGTCCACCAATAGGGATCGCGGAGAGGGCTGGTTTGCCTAGCAACCAGGCGAAGAGGGGCTGAAGTAAAAAAGAAGCGCGGGCGAAGAGTCGAAGTCCGACTCCCCAGGTTGGCGGAAGCGGCTTTTGCGTGACGCTTCTGCCTCAAAATTCTGTATTAAGCCTCTTTTAAGAAGTAGGGCGTTTATAAAAGGCCTTCAAACCTGGCCCTTTTATGACTTGTGGACTTCAACTCCCAGAATCCCCCAGCCAGCCAGGGGAGGGAAGAGGAAAAAAAAGAATTATGCAGGTAATCCTCGACTTACGTCCAGGATTGAGCCCAGCATTTCCATTTGCTAAACAAAAGGCAGTTGTTAAGTGAGTTTCGCCCCGTTTGACGACCTTTCTTATCGCGGTTGTTAAGTGAATCGCTGCAGAAGTTGGTTGCATGGTTGTTAAGTGAATCAGGCTGCCCCCATTGACTTCGCTTGTCAGAAGGTCACAAAAGGGGGATCACATGATCTCAGGACTCTGTGCCCGTAAATATGAATCGGTTTCTAAGTGTCTGAATTTTGATCACGTGGGGATGCTGCCACGGTCGTGGGTGTGAAAAACGCTTATAAGTCAGTGCTTTTTTCATTTTAAATCAGTGGTTCTCAACCTTTTTAATGCCGCGACCCCCAACCGGTCGTAAGTCGAGGACTACTCAACCGGTCGTAAGTCAAGGACTACTCAACCGGTCGTAAGTCGAGGACTACTCAATGGGTGCAGCACCATTTGCAGACTGGGGCTTTTGGCGGGCTCAGCAGGGCAGAGACAGCCTGGACAATTCCTATGGGCTTTTGAAAGCCAATAGAATTAGGCTCTATTCAAGAGAGTCTATTCTATCGGCTTTCCAAAGCCAATAGAATAAAAGGGAGTAGCACAGCTAAGGAAAAGGGGGAAAAAAATGGCGGACTGCGTTGTTTGGCGACCCCCGTGAAATGGTCGTTCGACCCCAAATGGGGTCCCAACCCACAGGTTCAGAACCACTGCTTTAAATGGTCACTAAACAAATTGTAAATCAAGGACAGCCTATAATTCTAAAAAATAAACCCAATAAAACACAGGAATCTCTATTAATGTATTTTATATTTTCTTTTCCTCCGTAAAGTTGCAGGGCTCAGGGTTAACCTCTTTGGTTTCTTTGTACTCTTATAAGAGAATTGGAGATACAAAAATATAACAATGTGAAAGAAAAGCTCCTCTATTTTCTCTTTCTCTTTAGTCGTATGTAAAGGTTGGTACAACGGATATAAAGAAATGAACTACGGTTCGCTGAATTAACTCAGTGGCTCAGGTTCATGCATCACGCAAAAACATTATGAAACTTCTCTGAATTTGCACCTCACATTGGGCCATAAAGCAGCCAATTGCAATTTAGCACTGCATTCTTTAATGCATCGTAGGATTTCCTTAGTAAGGTCAATGCAATAAATGTGGCTTATAAGCAAACCATGGTTTAGCACAATGTGCAAGTCTGTTCGTATTCTTACAGTAACAGAAAATCGTCTTAAGGCACCTTCAAAAGTAAAGATCTATGGTATGAGCTACAAAATCCTAGTCTGCTGCTTTATTGTAGGCCAAACACAATCCCAGGTTTCTGCATACTTCTTCTTATGCCATATCCATTATCGGACGTTGGCGATCATGTTGGCGATCCTGTTTTTATCAGCAGCCGCACGAAAAAGTGCTGCTGAGTTTTGTCCAACCTATATGTTGTTTTCTTCCAGTAGAGGGCAAGAGAACATTAGCTAGATGTTAGTGGGAAAAGCGTTTCAGCCAATCATCTGATTCAATTCTGTTTTTGAATTTCAGAGGCTATTATGAAAAGCAAAAGACAAGAGAAAGGTAAGTGGCCTTTGGGCAATAGCATATTCATGATTCTCTCAGAAACTATCTCTTTATTTGTAAATAATAGACAATAAGCTTTCGTAGTAGCAGGGGCTTGAGTCCAATTTTGTCCTAGTGAAAATATGTGGTACTGTTACTGGAAAAGCACAAGCATACCAGTTTAACCCTGTTGTGAAAAAAAAAAAGAGGTTAGAAACATGATGATGGCAGAAAAAGACCCAGTGGTCTTTGGAATCTGCCCTTTGAGATGTTGGTTTGTTTGTTTTTATTTATTTTATTATCTTATTTTTATTTATTTAGGTTAAAACAAATAATGGACTTAAACCCAGTATTTTATTAACCAGACAGTGTAATATTAAGGCACCAGACTAGAAATCAGTTCTAATTTCATTTTAGGCACAGAGGCAGCCTGGTGACCTTGGGCCAGTCCCTTTTTCTCAGCCCTAAGGAGCAGACAATGGCAAACCATTTCCAAAATCTTACCAAGAAAACAGCAGGGATTAGTCTGGTCAAGTACCAGGAGTCAACACTGACTTCAAAGGCACAAAGAAAATTTTATTAGCCACTATATTTGGTTTGCCCTGAAGTTAAGAGAAATATAATTCCCTGTACTTGCTATCCTGCCTGCCCGTGCCATTTTCTTTGTGATGAACACGTTCTTCAGATTTTGAAGGACTACCTGTGTATTACAATAATAGCATATTAATTATTTGCTACTTTCTCATGGCTAAGGGAATCAGTTGTGGGTAACAGTATGGTCAGCTCGGACGTATCTCCATATCTCCAAACATAGTTCTTTGTCCTAACTAAAAGACTATTTTGTATGTATGTATATTTTAACGGACAGAACTATTTGATATGGAATATTTTGGTTTATGGTCAATACGTTATAAAAAAGCTTCAGGCTTATTTGTTCTTTTAAATATATATATATATATTATTTCTGAGCATTTTATCTTGAATGTTATATTTTTACCCATCTATTTGGTTGGATTCCTTTTTCTAGGTAAAAGGAATGTGATTGGTTATATGATTAATTATTTAGCATTTTAGTATTTTGGAAAAAAAGCATTTTAGTATTTTGGATTTTTTTTCAAACAGAGAAAGATTTATGTTTTTGCAAGTTTGAAGGTCAATGCGACTGTAGACAGAAAGTACAAAGAACAGGTTCTCACTTAGTGTGCCAAAAATTGGATGTGAGCCAGTCAGGCATAGAAACCACAAACTAATGATGTATGAAAAAAATTCTGATCTCCATGGTAATTCCATTGCAACGAAGCATGATAGATGGCACACAGATATTATTTAGCTGCTTCTTAATATAGACCACATCTATGTTTAACACATACAGGAAGAAAACTATTTTTTCTCCAATTAGAGAAAGGTTAAAGCATTGTCAGTTCCATAACCCGTATATATTAGAAGCTCTGGTGAGCTACAATCATTTAATGCATTGATTGAAAAAATGTCTCACCTTGCAGGAATTATTGAATCCAGGAAATGTCTTCACAGCTTCCACCAAATTAGAATTTGCTCTCTTAAAATAAGGACAGGATAGTTATTTGTTTAATTGACATTGGAAGATATGCTCAGGTTTCACGATGAGCTTAATTATTTTCACATTTTGAAATAACACACCAATCAAAGATGCTGTCCAAAATTCAGTTTTGTTAGATTGATAACGCAATTCACTACAAAAAAAGCAACCTATATTGGAAGCAAGGACTGCTGCATAAAATGTTCCTTTTAAACGCATATATTTTTGTATGCCGCTCTGCCTAACCTAATTTTTTTTCGACTGCTGCATAAAATGCAACAGTTGAAAAAAAATTAGGTTAGGCAGAGCGGCATACAAAAATATATGCGTTTAAAAGGAACATATATAAAAATATGGATGGATTTTAGTATAGACTGCTAGCAAACCAAGTTGTGTGAGTGATCTAATTTATAACTGAAAGACGGAGAAACTAAAATCAGCTTTGTGTGTGTATGTGTGTGTGGGAGAGCTGTGTTACTCTACCATAGCAAAACATCAGGAGACATCTAGGAGTATCTTTTCTGATTAACACATTTTATTAAAAAGGGATAAGTGTTCAGGAAAGCTTCAGAAAAGGTGCTAAAATTTGGCAACCTTGAAAAACTAAGAGGAGAATTAAGCCAGCAAATGGGATCTTTAACATGAGTCGTTCAGTGCTACTCCTGAGCATTTTAAAATGTATAAAATGTAGGGTGTTCTAGGCAGATGGAGGGCACTTGCGTACATCTGGTAGCGTGGCTCTGGTGGAGAAGATGCCTCCTTGCTTTTCTCACTCTCCAGGAGAGGAAAAAGGCTGATCTGAAGCAAGCTACCACAGCAGATGTCTTACAGATTGTTCTCAGTTGGCCAACTGTCTTTGCTTAATCTCACTGGCTGTTGGGCCTCTTACAAACACCACAAAATACAGTTTTCTCCACCTCCCACAATATCTACAACAGATGGCGTGCGAGTGAGGGAAGAAAATTGTCTTTCCTCCATTTAGCATCAACAGACTTGCCCGTCCTTTCAGCAGTTATTCAGGATCCACTCAGGCAGAGTCAAAACAAGGCAATTTCCTTGCAACTAAATAAAGATGTGATGTCACAAAACCCAAGGTAGGCTTCTTTTGAGGTGGGGAAAGACAGGGAACCACTTAAGACAGAGTTTTTAGTTTTTAGTTTTTAGAATCCCAGAGATGCGCAGTATATGTGCTGTCACGCATTCCTACTAGTTTGCTTTTAAATTCTTTTCAAGAATGGAATGTGGGTGAGGAATTACTAAACACTTCCAGTACAATACGTAATTTACACTCTTTGGCATGTATTCGTAATCTAGCAGACTGTTCTGCTACCTCTAATAGTCCTTCAATATCTGGATTTCTGTTAAAGAGGCAGGCCAATAACAAAAGGCAAATAATGACATTGAAAGCAAGGAGAATAATAGAATAATAGAGTGGGAAGGGACCCTGGAAGACTCTAGTCCAGCCTCCTGCTGAACAGGAAACTCTATACCATTTCAGACAGACGGTTGTCCAATCTCGTCTTAAGAGCCAGTGTTGGAGCATCCAGAACTTCTGGATTAATTGTTCTAACTCTCAGGAAAATTCAGAGACGTGCTCCATGCAGAGTGTTGCAAAATGTAACATGAAACCTCTAAACATCATGTGAAACTCAAATCAGATCAAGCCACATTGTTGCTTAGTAGTGGTGCTCCCTACCCATTTGTTGACTGGGTTCACACATATATGCCAGAATGGGGTTTTAAAAGAGTGTGGATATCTGTACAATTGTTACTTATCCTAGAATCTAGGAGACACCTAAGGTTTTCAGAACAGCCTTTTAACAAATGTTAATTTGGGGAAAAACACACACACACACACAACCCAGAGAACAAAAATGGGGAAGCAACAACAACAACAAAAAAAATAGGACATTGGAAATCTTTTGAATTAATGAGTCTTAGGAGAGGTTGACTAGCAGTATCTCTGATCTCCCTAGGGTAGTGGTTCTCAACGTTTTTAATGCCGCGACCCCCCAACCGGTCGTAAGTCGAGGACTACTCAACTGGTGCAGCACCGTTTGCAGAATGGGACTTTTGGCGGGCTCAGCAGGGCAGAGACAGCCTGGACAATTCCTATTGGCTTTTGAAAGCCAATAGAATTAGACTCTATTCAAGAGAGTCTATTCTATTGGCTTTCAAAAGCCAATAGAATAAAAGGGAGTAGCACAGCTAAGGAAAAGGGGGGGGAAATGGCGGACTGCGTTGTTTGGCGACCCCCGTGAAATGGTCGTTCGACCCCAAATGGGGTCCCGACCCACAGGTTGAGAACCACTGCCTTAGAGGTCTTTCAAGGGGGAGGTTAAAAAAAAGTTAAGAGATAAGATAAGATAACCTTTATTGTCATTTTTATACTGTGGGCACTACGGCACACATCAAAAATGAAATTTAGTTGCCCGCTCTCAAAGTGAAACACATACATGACGCACACCTAAACATACTATGAAGATGGCTGGTTCAATAACCAGGGTTAGGTAAATAACCTAATTCCATAAAACTGGTTCACTGATCAGCAGTATCTGATTGCAAGAGACAGAAGAAAATGCAACAGAAAAAAAAGGCGGGTGGGGGGGGAGAGCAGAATAGACGACCAGAGCATGGCTGGCTGGCCCCAAAATGCATCTTCTGTGCAATCTGTGGGGAGAGTCCATTAATTCCCTCCCAACTCTATTTAATTGTGCTGGCACACAGGAAAGGAGGGGGTGGGTGTCAGTTCTTGCTTCTAACACACAGTAAAAAGTCTTTCAATTCCTTTGCCTAACCACAGAAGCTATTAGCTGTAAGCAGTTCAAGCACTGAATAGAGTTGATTGTTACTGATAGGAGGAGGCTTACTGGATCGGCACTAATATTTTTTTAAGTTCATTATCTGCTAGTGGAAAACAATTCCCTTTAAGTACCAAAGAGGGACTCTTTTTTTTAAGGACCATCTGCAGCAACTTCTCTGAACGCACTTTCCCGCCTGATCCTATTTTTTTCTCTCCCAGATCCAACGATGTAATTCAACTCTACCACCGTCCCCTCCATTACAAACATCGATCCTGTTTCTGTTCTTTTAAGCAGAAGCAGAAAAGGAAGTTCTGCAGACTTGTCTGAAATGGTCTAGGGTTTCCTGCTTGAGCAGTGGGTTGGACTAGAAGCTCTCCAAGGTCCCTTTCAGCTCTGTTCATTGATTGGTCTGCACTGGTTTGGTCCAGCCAGGTTAGCACCTTGCCAAGCTTCCTTGCCAAGGCCTTTGACCCCAAGGCAGGCAATTTTGTATTTTTCTATCTGGCCCTGCTTCGTTTTCAGCTGATCGAAAATCTTGTGAGTTCTTCCATTGTCTAAAAACTCACTGTAAAAATATTGACATCCTCATTTTTATACAGCTCTTCCCTTGCATACACACTTAGCCATCGTACCATATCTATCTAAATCTATTCCCATATATATGGTGTTTGTGTATGTGTATATGGTATTATATAACCTATAATGTGTGCATTTCTGTGACAACTGCATCTCTTTGCTATTAAAGGAAAATGTGTGCAAAGGTTTGCAAATTAACAACGATAATAGTAATAAGCTTACAGGACTCCCAATTGCAAAGCAAATGCTTTTGAAACAACGTTGGCATTTCTGCATATTAGGTAAGGCATTCAGGCTGGAAAACTCAGACATTCTTACATGTCTCCAGGGAAAAAAATTATTACTTGTGTTATGAAGATTCAAATGACTTATTAGCACGGTATATTTAAAAATGAGCAACACAAGGTTTTACATTTTTAAAAGAATGGTTAGAGTTTGGATTATTGCAATGAACTATATTTCAGCAAAATTCTTTGCTGCAGGCTCTGTTTCTTATTCTCAGCTAGGTTTGTTCTAAATCCTTTTATGCTAAACAAAAGGTACATTAAAAATTACAAAGCCTCGAATCAGAACCTTATCTCCACTCTCCAAATTTAAAAGCAGTATAGAACTGATAAATAATTAAGGAGGAGGAAACCATTTCAAAATTGCCAAATATAAATTATCATGCCATTACTGCTATGGCAACTTTACAGTCAAGGAGCATGGCAATGCTGCCGATCACAATAAATAAAGAGAAATTCTGTAAAATCTCAACCAGCCCATCTTTGAGTAGTTGAACCTGTAAATAATCAAGGCTTGAAAATCAGGCAAAATCTAGAGCAGCCACTTCATCTCGAAAATTTGCTCATTTCATTTCATCCCGTGCATGATTTGTCCCACCTGAATTGTTGCCCGGATAATAAACCTCTCAAGAAATTGTGTCCTACTTTCACAACAAATTATTTCAAATATATTCCTGATCTATCAGATGCTCCAAAGGCATTTGTCTTCCTTCAGAAATTGGCATAGTTAACGGAGAAGCAAAAGGCTTGGCAGAGCTGTTTAACTTCAACAAAATCAAATTATAAAGTTGAGCCATTCTTCCTTCGCCTTCATTGTCGGGGATGGAAGAGGCCATAAAACAAACATTTGCGCCTGCAAAAGAACAGTTTGGCTTTGGAACAGCTGTACTGATAAAAGTGCTGCCACGTTTGGCTCATGGGATGCTCTCTCAATTGTCCCCAAGCTCCTTCAGGGAATGGCAAAGGAACCGGCTGCTGTTTGGGATCCTCACATCGTATAGGCCACCCAATAGATGACGTTGACTGCAGCAAAGGCAGCTGGGAAAACTGCCCTTGCGTAGACATCAATGGTATCAGCATCAATGGGTTTGAAAAGAGACTTGAGACCAGTGTTGGCCTTTGGTGCCCCTCCTTTCTTGGTGTCCCCCGTTTCTACTTCAGCTGAGCCATACAAGCCAGATGGGTTTGGGGGCCCTCGGCGATGCCTGCTGGACGTGGCCAGCTCCTGGTTGACTCCCGCAATCGAAAGGGAGAACATAACAATGGCGCTCTTCACATTGACCTGAAAAGGGAAAGAGAGATAGAATTGGGAAGAGGGGGAACTGGAGATACACCTCCCCCAAATTAGCTAATCCACATACCCTGGCCTACAAAAGTAGACCTGGAATAACATGGTGGCCTGAATAGCTTAGCAGACTGTTACAGAAAGAGAAACAGAGGCTGAGTTCACACACTGCCTTATGCTGTGCTTTGTTTCATAACCCACGATGGCTGGATTTATAAACCTTAACCACGCTTTATTTTACCAATGGTTTGCCCCCCACACAACACATACCACATTAAGCCAATCCGAACAAACTATGACATTTTTCGGTTGGGTATGTCAGGCTAGAAGAAATGAAACATGCTTTCTGGACAACACTACAGACCTACAGTGAAATTCAAGCTAATCTTCTTCCTGGCAAATTAAACCATGCCTTTTATTAATTACTTACTATATTTGTTTTCTGCCCGTCTAGCCTCCAGGCAACTTTTGCTGTAACACAACTTGCCTGGCTTCACACATCGAAGGGACTTGAAACCAGTGGGTATTTTGGCTGGGTGTGAGCCTGGCCATTAGGGCTTGTCAAGCTTCGTCTAGAGTTTGTGCATGTTACACAACTAGGTATTAATGCAGGGCTGTCCAACCTTGGTCACTTTAAGAGCTGTGGACTTACGTATTAGTTCAATGAGTCGTATTGTTTATGGCTAACTGTATATAATATGTGAATGCCATCAAAAACTAGACCATTTACCTTTCCAAGATAAAAAATGAATCTCAGCTAGAGCCTACAGACGATTATACTGACCTCTTCTGCCTGCTTGCTGGTCTTCAATTTGTGTTTCTGCTTTTTCATATAGTCAGCATTGAAATGGGCAAAGGCGTATTCCACCAGTGCAGCGAAGACAAAGACATAGCAGATCCAGAAGTAGACATCCAACGCTTTTATGGCCGAAGCCCTAGGAAGGGAAGAGCGAGCACTCACCATCAGGGTCGTCATGGTAAGAACTGTGGTTATGCCTGTAAGAAACAAAGAAAAAAATTAGCACCTAGAGCAGTGTTTCTCAACCTTGACAATTTTAAGGCATGTGGACTTCAACTCCCAGAATTCCACATCCAGCAACGCTGGCTGTGGAATTCTGGGAGTTGAAGTCCACATGCCTTAAAATTGTCAAGATTGAGAAACACTGACTTAGAGGGAGTATATCCCCCATAAAAAGCAACCTGAAGATCTTTCCACTTAGAGCGGTAAGAATTTTATTTTATGTCAGTTCCTCAAAATGGGTAGAAGCAACTTGGCTTGCCTGCTGATTTAGATGGATTAAGGATCTGACTTGTACCGAGATGTTTTGTCTGGGTTCAACCACCATGATTTATTTAACCAAATTGCAGTTGGTTCAGGGAATCTTTGCATGATGTGTAAACCCCCTCCCTCTCTCTGATCTACTGGGCTGACTAACTCCAGCCCAAGGAGAAGATTACTTAATTGCTTTTCCAACCTTGGATTCTCGGCAGCTTTAGTTTACACATACATCATACTTTCCACACAACAAAGCTGTGAGGCAAGTGGGCTCAGAACTTCATGTCTGAGTGAAAAGTTCAGTGCAGGGGTATCAAACTGCCGGCTTGCGGGCTGGTTGCATCATGCGGAGGCTGCGCCCACCCCAGCTCCAGCCATGCGAAAAAAAGTCACGACATGTCACGTGACGCGGCGAGTTTGACACCCGTGAATTACAACCTCCACCATCTTTATCTGGCGCTCTGTTCACTGTGACACCCCAGCTCCCAAGGCTTTTGTAAAAATCAGGTAAAGTCCTCTTTTACCTAGGGAGACCCGTGCAGGCACAGCTGATTGGCTGATCCAGAAGGAGACCCATGACATGGCCACCAAGAGAATTGAAGGGACATAGGACTGGATGATGTAGACACCTCGGTTCCTCCGCAGGTAGAAATGGAGACTCAGGCGGGGGAACCGGCCAACTGTAAAATGGGGATTTTTTTTTTAAATATCTTTTGGGGTTGCCCTTTTATCCTGCCCTCAGAATGGCTGCCATCATTCCCTTTCCCCACCCCTGAATTTTTTTTTCCACCCAATTTCTTTGCCCTCGCGCTCCCTTCCCTATCTGTTAGCATTAAAATGAACTTTCCATAGCTCCTTGGTCTTGTTTAATTCTTCACTTTTAAACAGAGAACTCACATGCCATACTAAATCATGGTTTGTTACAATAATCAGTTGGGATCACCAACACGTGTGTCCACGAACTGTGGACTACAAACCAGGGTAGAAAAAAATTAGACCACCTCAAGCCATCTCATGGTTAGAATTCTGCTTACCAGTGCGAAACCCCAGTTTTGCCCTTTGTAAACTGTTGCTTATAGCTACGTACGTTGTGTGAATTTAGCCACATAAAGAGCAAATCATGATAAAACTTTATTTATCGTAATGAATGAGCCCTGTGTTTAAAAGGCCAAGATTTATCTTTTAAAATGACATTTTACCCATCTTGGTGAATTGAGCTCTTCTAGCTTGTTCAATCCAGCTAGTTTCTTGTCTCCTTAGAAAACATGCTGGTCAATAACCATCCAACTATTAAATAACTAATTACTTCACTTACCAGATTTGAAGTTCATAAGTTCAGTAGTGAATCGATAATTGATAATGGTGAACTGAGCGAGCTGCAGCTTATCCAACCCGTGAATTTGCTCTTGGTTCTCAGACCAGTGGTAGACAATGTCCTCGGAGGAGTAGCCATCTATTTAAAAAAAAAAAAAAACCTGAATAAATACAGGTTCATAAAGCGGAAGGTGAAAACAGGGTTCACATAATAGGCTGCACCTGATTTGTTTTAAATCAAGTTTTGCAAGTGAAAATAAAGTTTCACCAAATGAAGCAACTACCATAGATTTCAGCATAATATGTCAACCTGGTGGCCCTGTTTCGTTTTCCTCTTAATTTTCCAAGGGAACCTGATTCAAACAGCACAGCGAAAGCATATGAAGTCATATCCTTTCTTCCCTCCAGCTTGGGATTGATTTGTGTGTTAAACTCACAACTCTCCAAGTCCAGCATGCATTCCTGCTCATCCATTGGATACTTGGTGAGATCCATGTCACAGGCCACCGTGGAGGTAACCCTACAGAGAGCAGAACACACAGCACTTACATTCAAGCACCTCCCTGCTTACCTGCACACTTAGGCTAGAAGAGTTTCCCAAACTTGGCCATTTCTAGATAGGTGGACTTCAAATCCCAGAATTCCACAGTCACATGGCCATTGATGAGAATTACAGGAGCTGAAGCCCCAACCTCTGGATATGCCTGGGATTGGAAATGCTGGCTTAGAGGAACTTCCTACCATTTCACTACCCAATAAATACGGCTGTTTACCACCGGCCACAAAATTGTCATTTACCTGATGCTGTAAAGAATGACTCCATCCGGCTGCAGCCTTACAAGTTTATTCTCCACCGTTACATCATGAAACCAGGCTGACTTGGCATTGACTATAAACGTATCCGGCAGCCAGAGTTTGTCCACAAAACGGCTATCCAAGCCCAGCGTTTCATTGGTCCGATTGTACGACAGCCGGTGGTCCCGCCAGCTTTGATGCAGAAAGACAGTCATCGTATATTCCTAAAGACAAGAATTAACAGAGCAGAATTTTTTTAAAAAAAAATTCCTTTAAAAAGGATAGCTGTGACAACTTCTCTGGGCCAAAAAAGAGCGTTTTCCATTTCCCCCCCCCGTTTTGTCATATTCCTAACAAATAGGCTGCATTTCTAATTTAATAAGCTGTCATATTCCTAACAGCTTATTAAATTAGAAGAGCAGCCTATTTGTCACAACTAAAGATTTGTGAACTAGATAGCCACATTCCACAACATTTCTATGCAGTCTAAAAACAATTGCCATTTTCACCATCAGGAGAACAAAGGTGGTGTCACCATGTCTGGTTTAGCTCTGGTGCTCACTTACCATGTTGGCTTCAGAGATGTGGTCAATGCTAGCCACCTCGATAGCCAAAGCCACATTAACAGGGGGCCCTTTATAGAAATGACAAAGAGTAAAACAGAGACACCGAAATTTACGTTCATCTTAAGTCAGTCTAGTGTAATGCATGAATGAGTACAAAAAGTTACGCTGAGGCCCTGAATCAGATGAGACCAGATTAGCGCTATAGCTCATCTCCGTGGGCTTATTTTAATGTGCTTCTAATTTATAAATGTTATTTATTAAATTTCCATCCCAACACAATTTTTACAACTCTTCCCTGACAATCGTGGATAATAGCAAGTAACTAAAAAGTGTAACCCTATATTGATCTACAATATGTAAATAGTACATCTTTTAATTCCTCTGTGCTAAAGAGCCTTACCTCCAATTCCTGGCCTAAAATTCCGGGCGTATCCTTTAATCAAGTCATCCAAATTGGGCAACCAGGATATTTCGATGTTTGACCCGATATAATCTCCAACGTCATTCAGGGCTCTCCGTTGAAAGAACAAAAGAGACAAAAGAAAGAAAACCAAATAAACCCTTTATTTAGTGGTAGCAGATTTTTAAAAGAGCAGTTTTCTGTTATAAAGATTCATATGTTGCTGCATATTTAAAAATCACCGTTAACTGACTTTAGTTGGAATTGCAGCTGATGAGGAAGAGCAGAGGAAGTTGAGAACACATTAAATTGATGAACAAGATGCTCGAAAGCAAGGCAAGAAGACAAGGTCTCTGCCCAAGGAATTTTATAATCTTAAATTTCAATTTACGTTTGAACTGAAGGGAGACAAGAGACTTGTCAGTCTTTGACAAAGGTCCTGAATTAGAGTTATGGCTGGGGGATTCTGGGTATTGTCAAAGATTATTCTGGGAACAGCTTCAAGCAGAACTGGGAGAATGTTTGAAATGTTGAGTGCCTGTTATAGGTATCTATAGCTATAGGCCCCATTCAATTATAATTTTAACCTAATGAAAAGGGGCTGATTAATAAATATATAGTAAGCAGTCCTATTTCCTGATAGCACATCATTATAATTAAGTATAGATTTTATTCTCACACAGCCTAACATCCCCCTTGGCCCTCACACTCCAACAGGACGGTTCCATTTTTTCACCTTTTTTTTTATTCCTAGTTACTCTCACTTCTCCAACCTCCCTCCCTTTTCCGGACTGAACCCTCCACGGGGCAGAGATCAGTCTGGGATTTTTGGATTTAAAATTACAACACCTCTAACCGTGCCAAATGGGGTGGTGGGGAGAGGAGAGAAAGCAAGAACCGCAGCCCACCTCTTTTCACCAAACACATATTGCAAGCGTTAAGTTGAAACTGTGTCTGTGGGAAAATGACTCATCTCTACTCAATTACTCTACTAGGGCTTAATAAGTCACTGCATGAAGAGCTGCCAGAAACCAAGGAATCGTGGTGGTGGGGGGGGTGCTAGGAGGAGGAAAACAGAGAGGCAGAGAAGCTGCCAGCACCCCCAAGTTTTATATATTTTTTCCCTCTGTGTTGTATTTTCCTCTTTTTAAAAAATCTGGGGAAATCTCTCGTCTCCTCAAGTGCAAACTTGGCCTCATTCTAGTGTCCAGTGGTCCATTCAATTCGAGCAGTGCAACCAGTTGGTAGGTAAAACTAAATTCTGACTGACCATACGGGTAGTCCTCAACTTAACGACCGCAACTGAGCGCGAAATTTCTGTTGTCAAGCAAGACGGTCGTCCCGTAGGTTTTGCTCCGTTTTACGACCTTTCTCACCACAGTTGTTAAGAGAATCCCCGCAGTTGTGAAGTTGGGTGTGAAGCGAATCTGGCTGCCCCACGGACTTAGCTTGTCGCAAAAGGGGATCACAGGATCCTGGGACACTGCAGCCATCATCCGGATGAGCCACTGGCCAAGTGTCCCAATTTTAATCACCCGACCAATGGGGGAGGCTGCAACGGTCGTTAAGTGTGACGAACGGGTCATAAGTCGCTTTTTTCCCCCAGTGCGGTTGTAACTTCAAACGGTCACTCAACGAATCGTGCCTGTAGTTCCTATTTTATCCTCACTGGACTGAAATTGAAACGATGCCTTCCGTGCTGGGAACCGAACTTGGGCCAGTTTACCCAGAAATAAACTGCCTAACCAAATTGGGAAAGGGATCCTGTAACCCCTTCTGGGGTTGTCAGGTGGGGGGGGGGGAATCCGTGTTCAGTTGAAGGAAGTGACCTGTCTCACTGCCCCATTTGGTGCTCCAAACCAGATGCAGAGAAAGGCAGGGCACAGCTGCCTCATTGGAAACCATTCCCTAAGGATGCTCCACTTGCTGGCTCTCCAGGGCTCTCTCTGGGCCAGCAAATAGGGCATCGTATATTTTGGTCGTCTTCCGCCTCGGCCTTCATCGGCATAACCCACATTCTGTAGATCAGGCAGAGTGAAAACCACGGCCTTTGGCTGTCAGCAGCAGAGGTGGCGATGACCGCCAATTTAGATGGCTTTAAAAGGGAGCTAGACCAATCCCTGAGCAGTCAAACGGATGGCTTCAATCACAGAGACCCCCCCCACCTTGGATGCCCCCAGCTGCTGGGGAGCCGTAAGAAAAGGAGCCCCTGGTCGGCAACTGGATGGACCCTTGGCCTGATCCAGCTTTAGGGGGTCTTAATTTATCTCCCTTCCAAGTGAAGCTTTAGGGCAAGGCCTCACAATTGTGGAGCTGGGTTCAAATTTCACTTTAGACTCCCTCTCTCTCTCTCTCTCTCTCTCCCCATCTTTCTCCATCTCCCATAAACAAAATTTTTCTCCTTTCTTCGCTGAGCTCCTTTCCCATAAACGAGCGTCCCGCTCTTCCAAAGCGGCTCGCTCGGCTCGGAAACTGGAATAATTGACCCGGGTTAACGTTTCCCGACGGCTTCTGATTGCGCCAGAAGCGCCGCGCAGCCCGACCTATCCTCCAGCGCCGGGAGCCTTCCTCCCGAGGCGGGTTGGATTCGAGGCTAGGCAACGACGGACCGGTAACCACTTCCCCCCCCCCACTGTAATTTCCCCCCGAAAGCGCAGGGTGGCGCGCAAAGGGACACCTTCCTTTCCTCGCCCGGTCCCCGTCCCTCGAGAGAGTGGCCGGCTCCAACCTACGGCGGGGTTGCAGCGGCCCCGCTCCCGCTTTCTTCCACCGGCCAACTAAAACGGGGCGCGCAGGCAGGACGAGACAGCAGTGACCCACGCGCTCCAGGCAGGCGCGGAGAAAGTGGCCGCGCGTACCTAGCATAGCTCGCTCGCTCGCTCTTACCTGGTCCAGGTGTGGTGTTGGGCGCAGAGCAGCAGCAAGGAGGGGAAAACCCAGGTGAGCGATTCCATCTCTGGCCGAGAGGCAGGGACGTCGACCGAAGGGGCGAGAAAACAGGTGCAGGGCAGGCAGTTTCCCCCAAAGTCCCTTCGGGCGCGGGGCGACGTAGGCAGCTCCCGGGGGCAACGCGGCACGAAGGTCGGTCCTGCTCCGCACAGTGGAAAGAAAGAGGAGGGGAGAGAAGTAGTGTGTGTTCGGGGGGGGGGGGGAAGAGAGAAGTTGGAGGCTCCGTTGCCTCTCCAAGCGACGTGGCACCGCAGCAACCAGAGGCGCGCACGACGGCAAAGGAAGCGAAGTGGAGTAGAGAAGGCAGAAAGAGAGAAGAGCCCGGTGCTACTCCGAGTGGCCTCCACTCCCTCCTGCGTGCCTGCCCAGCGCCAAGCAAAATTCGAGGGCAACTGTTCTCTTTCATTTAGCTCTCCATCCTTCCCTCGCTGGTACCTCCACTAGAAAAATGAGACGACGACTGCCACTTTAAATATGTCTTTTGTAAGAAAAAAAAAGAACTCAAGCACAGAACTGCACAGAGCTGCTGGCCGAAAATAAACCCCTTCGGAAATTACAGATTTTGAGTGTTACCAAAGCAGCACAGCAGCTGGAGGAGGAGGAGGAGGAGGAGGAGGAGGCACGTTTACACGTGTTCCCGGAGAGCCTAGATTTAGAAAGGGAGATGGAGGCATGGGAAGGAGAGAGAGGAGAAGAGACGAAAAAGGGAGGACGATGGAAAGGCTACAAAGGAAGGCGGGCAGGCGAAGTGCAGAAGAAGGGTGGAAGGTCAGCCCATGGAGATGAATCGCGGAGAAAAGGAGAAAAGGAGAAGGGTGGGCAGCATTTCTGAAACACAGAGAGAAATCAAAAAGCAAGAATGAGCAGAGAAAGCTCAAGAGGAGTTCTTCCTTCTTTCCTGGAAGATGGCAAGCTCTCCGTTTTAAGCATCTGGCAGGCTTGGAGATGAAATGCAAGCCTTCTCTCCCCCTCCTCTCTCCTCCCCATCCCCATTTCCTATCATCTTCCCAATTGGGGAGGGGGAGGAATAACTCAGAAGGCCCAATCGCTGTGGGGATGAGCATTTAAGAGATTTCTGCCAAATCTCTTAAGATAACCTTTGGTGGCTGCAGTTCGGTGAACTGCTGAGCCATGCTTAATAGAGTCTAATTTCCTGGGTGCCCAGCAACATCCTGAGCTAAAACTAACTTTCTGGACCCACAACATCTAGGGCAGTGGTTCTCAACCTGTGGGTCGGGACCCCATTTGGGGTCCAATGACCATTTCATGGGGGTCGCCAAACCACGCTGTCCGCCATTTTTTTTCCTTTTCCCTAGCTGTCCTACTCCCTCTTATTGGTGGCCACACCCACTTGGGGGTCACCACAACATGGGGAACTGTATTATGGGGTCACGGCATTAGAAAGGTTGAGAATCACTGATCTAGGGCTAAGTTGCTTGTAGCTTTGAGGCAAGGCAGCTGAGTTGCATGCTTGTCGGTCTGAATGCTAAAGAAAAGGGACGGGACTGAGAGCTTTCTGCCAGAGTCTTGGAACTGCATTAATTTTGCAAATGATTACCCCAAGGATATGTTTTATTTGTTTTTAATAATGCTGGAAAGATTCAGTGGGACAATTACTTTCATCTCAAACGACTTCGTAGGACTGTTGTTGTCAGGAAAAATAGAAATTGGATATGCTGCGCCTTTTGGCATAGTTTCAGGAATTATTGCATTGCATTCTGTGTCTCTTTTTAAAAAAAAAAAATGTTGGGTGTATAAGAAGGCAGGATCAGAAACCCAGATATCAAAACCAGACATGGTTTGAGTTAGCTATGAGGACTTCCATTCACACATTACATCAAGCCGTAAACCTTGGTTTGCAAATGGCAGTTTATAAGTCCTTGCATTGCAGTAATCCAAAACTTGACCAAACACATACAGGTAGTCCTTGACTTACAACCATAGCTGAATCCAAAATTTCCAGAGCTAAGCAAGACAGTTGTTAAGTGAGTTTTGCCACACTTTATGACCTTTCTTGCCACAGTTAAGTTAGTATCTGACTTCCCCATTGACTTTGTTTGTCAGAAAGTCACAAAAGTTGATCAAAAGACACCGTCATAAATATGAGCCAGTTGCCAAGAATCTGAATCTTGATTATGTGACCACGGGGGTGCTTGAATGGTTGTAAGTATGAAAAATGGCCATAAGGCACTTTGAACAGTCACTAAATGAACTATTGTAAGTCAAGGACTACCTGTAATAGCTTAGCATGTGTGAATTGCATGAGATATCCCATCCTTCACTTTGTTTGAACTCACCCACGTGTAACCCCTAATAAGAGAATCTTAGCCTCTTCAGAGAAAAGGTTTCCATCCCTAATTTTAGGTTCAGTGGCCCACTGAACCGATTAGCACAGTGCTTCTCAACCTTTTTAATGCTGCGACCCCCCCCCCAACCGGTCGTAAGTCGAGGACTACTCAACCAGTCGTAAGTCGAGGACTACTCAACTGGGGCAGCACCGTTTGCAGAAGGGGACTTTTGGCAGGCTCAGCAGGGCAGAGACAGCCTGGACAATTCCTATTGGCTTTGGAAAGCCAATAGAATTAGACTCTATTCAAGAGAGTCTATTCTATTGGCTTTCAAACACCAATAGAATGAAAGGGAGTAGCACAGCTAAGGAAAAGGGGGGGAAAATGGCGGACTGCGTTGTTTGGTGACCCCCGTGAAATGGTCATTTGACCCCAAATGGGGTCCCGACCCACAGGTTGAGAACCACTGGGATTAGCACATGGTTCAGTGGGCCACAGAAATCCGGGAAAAAAAACAGTTAGATTAAGCTATGCTGGTTAATGGTGTCATCCATTTAGGGCAAATAAAATCTAAACAGATAGGAGACTGAGCAATCCACTTCCTTTTGTTTTAAGAAGGGCACTTGACCAATATTATTCTGGGTTTTTTTTTAATCCAGCTGTTATAATGGAAGGAACTGTGGCCTCAGCTGAGGATTTCATGCGAGTGTTGGGAAAGTTAGAGCAGATGTAAGCTCACTCAATAAAAGAAATGAATAGGGGGGATGAGTTGCATCTGGCAGATGCTGGAAAGAACTCATTGCCCCCTGGGGGGGTCCTTTGTTTCAGCCAAATAAACCGGAGTCACACATCATAAGTCATTTTGGGGCGCAAGAGTCAAATCTATTTCAGTTCATTGTCTTCTAAATCTTTTAGAAGCCATCGGGATAGTTGGCCGGTTGACTTTAGGGCCAACAGTTGCAGGATAAAACCTGTCCCTTCTGAATGCATATACGATTAAGCCAATGCCTGAAAATTTCATTTCTTCCTTTATCGGCCAACTTCCCTTTCAAAGTTGTTCGGGGTACCATTGAAAATACCTTCCTCGTAGCCAGCTTTCCTAGCCTGCCTGACCAAACAGTTTTAAAGTGCCTTTTAATTAAAGGTACCGATAAACGGGAAGCAGAATTCTGCAAAGCTAAGCATCTTGATTTCTAAGGAACACCCCTGGGCCATTAATCTTTTGAGAACATAAAAATAGCGTCTAGTGCTTAGTTTGAAAGCATGACCCCCGTCACCTCTCCCTTCAAAAGACTGAATTGGCAGAGCGGAGGCCTGGTGTCATAGCTTTAGAGAAAAAATTGACAGCAAGATGTAGGATACGATGAATGCCGGGTTCTCTTCTTTAAATGCCCTTTGGAGAGAGCTCAGACAATGATTCTTCCCAGCCACACACGAGTCAGCCATATCAGAAATGCCCAAGGGCAGTTGAGGACATGTAGGATTAATTGCGATCGAGGTAGAAGTCAAGAACCAACTTTCAGGGTTATTAAGGCAATGGAATAGCTCGCCTTCCAGAGTGGTGGGTGCTCCATCACTGGAGATTTTCAGAACAGACTGGACAACTACTTGACTGGGATGGCATAAAGCTCCTCCTGCTTTGAGCAAGAGGTTGGATGATAAGACCTTTAAGGTCCATTATGGCCCTATGGATTCTATGTTCACGAACCCTGCTGAAGCACCTTTTGGAATGGTGTATGTTGAGCTCTCCAGGGTCCTGAAACGGCCCCAGACTAAACGTCTTGGCGTGTTGTCTGTTCTGTGGCTGGCCTTGCATAACGCATTTAGCATGCCTACTGAATGAACCCATTTTCTGGGTTCAAAGAACACATTGACCTCCAGATAAAGCAAATGGGCTGGCTTCACACAAAATATCAATCCTCCTCCCCCCAAAGTCAGCACACCGCAGCCACTGGGTTTCCAATTAATTTGTACAAGTACAGTATAAGCTTTCTTGAAGTCTTCAGGATGACCAGAAGAAGGATGGGAATGGCCAGCACTAGGAGGTTACATGGATACATGCGTGCCATTTTGCTGGGAACAAGGCAGTAATGGTTTGCCACTGTATTCATTTAGGATATTTTCCAGATTTGCAGTCCAGTTGACAATTCCAGAATTTCTGCTGGTTTCTTATCCAACTATTAGCCACATCTGGCCCAGATTAGCTTTTCTTTCTTTCTTTCAAATCAGCCATGATTGAAGATGGGCTGACACTTAACTGGGCAACATGCAATTTAGTTCCTAATTATAGGCCAAGTCTGGTAGAATTTCATTTCATTGCAGGAAATATTCTTTCTTCGTCCGAGAAATGTTGAGATTTCTGAGACAGATTTCAGAGAGTTTTGCCTCTTTTTTTATTTAAACTGTAAAGGTGAACTGCTTTTAGCTTTTGCTAATGGATGGTTTTCCAAGGGTCTTCCTCTTGGTGTCCTAATAGCCAATCCAATGAGGCAATCAATCAAATACCTCCTTCTGCCCACTCCATGCAGAGCATCAATAATTACTGTTCTTCTTTTCTATGGACAGCCAAATGGGTAATTGTCGTGTGGCTGTGTCTCCAAATGTATGTGAACACTGAAAACCTGTGCCTATTTTTAAACTGGAGGGATCAACAACTGGCCAGAGGAATTAGATCTCTTTGAGGAGAGAAATTGCCTCCAATTTTACATTTAGGATCAGCATCCCTTGAAGAATATTTCTGTGAACTTGTCCTTTTAATCATGATCAGGAATGTCAAGAGAAACAGAGACAAAATTAGGATTTTGAGGGTGAGAAAAGAATGCAAATACTTGAGGCTCATACATGTACAAAGTACCCTGGCTATTTTTAAGACAACTCATAAAACTGTAAAAATTAAGAGCTAAGTCAAAATGTGGGATTGTTGGTCAAAGTGATTGTTGAAGGCATTGTGTGAATATAGTGTCTAATTATGGCAAAAAATGGCTGTGCTTTCTAGTCATAACAGTGGCTGACAAGAATTCTATGACGATGAATGCATATTCATGCTTAGGCAAGTTCTCACCTTGCATTAAGCCATGATTTGCTTAATGGCCTTCTGAATACATCAGAATTGGGCCTGTTCACCCAAAGCCACTTTATAGCTTAGTGTGTGTACTTTTTGTTAATTGTAAGCACAGTTTTAGCCCTCTGCTTTGTAATGGAGGTATGGTGCTAAGCAAGACAGTTGATAAGTGAGTTTGGTCCCATTTTACGACCTTTCTTACTAGAATACTAGAATTAAAAGGAATAAAAAGCAGACTGGAATCTTCTGAGTTTGTGATGGTACTGTATATAGCTGTATATATGGTACCACTGTTTACAGATATATGTTCTCTCTTCCTTTCAGTGTTTCCAAGCTGATAACTAGTCAAATAAGCTAAAAATTTCTATCCCTGGCAGAAAAGAAGGGGGTGTAATAAAGATCTAACTAGTATTTTTTTTGTTCCTCCAGGGTGAGTTATCTTCAGCAGGAGATTAACCTCTTTTGCCCTTAATCAGAACAGGCCTGTGGTCATGACATTCCTTGTTAAAACTTGAGACCTGAAATGAAAGAGAGAGGAGCAGAGCAGGTCCTTAAAATAAAACAACAATAAAGCTTGATTAACACTTTTTCAGGCAATTCTACTAAGGTGTTACAAAGTGATCTACAAATTCCCACTCACAGATCCCAGATTTAAAATATATTGTGAAACACGCAGCGTGGGAGGGAGGGGGAGAAAAGATATCATTTGTAGATGACCCACCCTTGTCTCAATGTCTCCCCCTTTCTCTCCACCAGGACGTGATTTCTTTTGGCCTTGTGTGGATCAAGCCAGTTTGTTGAGTCCTGGTTATCATATAAACCAGAATTGGCTGAGCCCACCTAACTTAAGCCGAAAGCAAACAAAGCACAGTCTGGTGTAGCACATTGAGCAAACCCAGTCAATGGTGACTAATGTGGCAAATCAGATTTCACCATACCATTGGCACATTGTCGGTTTTAAACCATGGTTTATGGCTTTGTGTCTTATGCAATTCCAGGCAGCAGTGGTTTACTCAATCGTTTACCCAGCCATGGTTTAGCAGGATAGGCAGACCCAATCTGAGAGCAGCTGGCCTTAGATCTCAGGGTTGGCTCTCTCCTAGCACTGCTTAGATTGAAGCGTGTAAGTGGCATTCTTGCTCTTTTCCCAGCTAGGCCTTTACATAACATTTCTTTTATGCAATGCTTACCTCCTCCTCCACAAAGCAGAAAGCCATCCTTTATGACGTTCCAATTATTTCAATTATTCCCACCACTCACCCACCTCCCAGTAATCCTTTTAATAGCTGCTTTGCTCTCGGCACTCCTGGAAAAAACTGGGATACTTCTAGCAAGAGATCTCTAGGCTTTTGCAGAGTTCCACATTTATTTATTTATTTATTTTGAAAGTTGCCTGCCCTTTTTTTCCACATTTCCCCAAGTCTGTTTTCTCTTTCAAGCCTCCCCCCCCCACCTCTTTCCATAGCTGGTTGCAAAATGTGTGAACGGGCTGGTAAGCAGAATGAACACAGCACAAGAAAAGTAAAATAAAACTGAATACCAGGTCAGTTGCGTAGGTCCAGGAGCATTCACAAGGACACCTTGCTTTTTGAGGATCTCTGTGTGCGCTTAGGAAAATGTCACTATTACACAGTGGAAAAGATCTTTCATTTGAGGGTTAATTGAATCAAATTCCCTTCTTAAAAATGGCAATGTCTCTTTATTAAAAGCGTTTAAAACAGAGTAGTTTCTTCTGGTAGGAAGTGAAAACTGCAAGCAGTGATTATCATACTATAAATCTCAACAATATTAGCATTACTATATTAATGTAAGCATCAGTGTAATAACATTACATTATTACGTTCATATACCATTAATGTAATAACATCTTAGAAGGGAAATAAAAGGATGGTCACGTTTGAAGAAAGCCCTTTGTTTACCTGGAGCAGGTGGTCTTTCAGAACGGATCCAATAGGAAAGGAATGAAATAATTTATTCAGTTCAGTAGAACGGGAAAATGTTTTTGCCCCGTGCTTGTGTGGGCGGAGGTATAGGGAGTGTGAAATCCAACTTAAAACCAGCACAAAAGAGCTGTCATTCAAATGAAACACAAGAATTAATTTTTAGAGGCGCTGCCAACTCTAAAAATAAAAAAAAAGGGAGCAGAGGGAGCCAAAAGGAACAGCTTAAAGAATTAGAGCAACTGGAGTCCTCTAAATAAGAATGTATCTGAATGTTTTGAATCGGGCATTTTTAAAAAAAAATGGAGGGGGAGGTAATTGGCAGGCAGTTCCTTGCCAGCCACTTGGCTGACTAATTAAAAATGTCTTCATACTGACGAGAAAAATTACTGGTGACCAGGTTATTTCCATATTACTGCCATACTGTACAGATTTAATTCTCCTTAAAACATTCCAGCTTGAGCAAAAGTCAGATCCCGTTGCTGTCAGTCGAAGCTCTGAAGGCCTAGAATTAGTGAGAACTAAGGAGTCACTTTGTGCTAACAAGCAAGACGAAAATGAAAGAAAAATGGTGCCCTCTATTGGCTTTGGACTACCACTCCCATACTCCTTTGTCACTGGTCCCACTGGCTGATGCTGATGGGAGTGGAGGCCCAAAACATCTATGCAATACAGGTAGCCCTTGACTTATTGGGTCCAAAATTTCTACTGCCAGCGAGGCGCCAAGCCAAACATGGCAAACCTGACAGATATTTGTTAGCCACAACCATCAGGAAGTGTAACTTTGACGGCCAGGACTCCTCGGCTACATCTTATTTTAGCCTCAAAGTGAAATAATCTTATTTTGAGTAGCTTAGCTGCGAGTCTTCAGCCAGCTTCCCCGCAGCTAAGCTACTCAACTTTTGGCACTGGAGGAATTGCAGGGGGCCAGATTAGAAGACCTCCCAGGTCCCTTCCAGCTCAATTCTGTTCTACCAGTGAGGAAGCCCAGTTCACTTCGCAACCCTTAAACCACTGTGATTCACTTAAGAACTGTGGCAAGGACGGTCGTAAAAATGGGGCAAAACTCACTTCGCAGCTGCCTTGCTTAGCAACAGAAAAACTGGTGCGTGTCTCTCTCTGTGTGTGTATGTGTGTGTGAAGTTGTGGTCGCAAGTCGAGGACTGCCCGTACAGTAGGGTGGGCATCGGTGGGCGCGTTATCAGCGCTGTCGAGGCTTGGTGCTGGGTGGAAGTTTTAACGTGGGTGGATTCCGTTGGTTTCGCACCGCAATTTTGCTTCGCTTGCAGGATTTGGACACGAGCTCGCCAAGAAAGCGACGAGGCTCCTTTAAGCGTTAACCGACCGGCGGCTCGGAGCTGCCGCCGCTTCTCGTGCGCTTCCCCCGAGAGACAAAACGCAAACCGCTTGGAATGTACCATTCATCTCTAGAAGATGGGGGGGGGAGCCAAAACTCTCCCCTCCAAACGGCGCGAGCCAACGCTTTCTGCTCTGCAGACTAGAACTTTGTTCTCCTCCTTCCGAGAAAGCTGGAGTCGCCCCCCCCTCCGCTTGTCTTTCCAGTTGGTTGTCTCCGTTGCCTTGGGAGCTTTCCCAAACGATGGTTTAAAAAAAAAAAAAAAAAAAAGTCGCGAGGCCAGTTTGCTCGGAGGCTTCGCGAGTTGATACCGTAAGCGGACGGGAACGGGGTCCCCATCTCCCCCAAAGCTTGCATTGGCCCCGTAATTAGTAATTATTCCTTATTTAGAAGCCCTTGGGTTGGTAATGATGACCCGGACCTTGAACTGAGAATGCCTTGAGAATCTGCTTGGCTAGAAAAGAGGCATAGAACAGAACCTGGCTGAGTTTGCACAAGCTGGCTACTGAATTTACTTAGGTTTTATAAATGAATCCAATGTGCAATAAAAGTGGGTCTGATTTAGCCAGTTGGGCAAATGTAAATTGCTAATATAGTAACTATTAGGTGAGTGCTAACCTCTGCGTGAAGCCTAGAAGAAGACAGGACAAGCTTTATTGTCATTGTCAAATAAATGTTAATGTGACTCCAGCCATTGCAGAATCCTGGTTCAAGCTGCTGAATTGGGAGATTTTATTCCCAATTCTTAAAAGAGTAAAAGATAGACTAATAGGGCTTATCGCTGATCAAGAAGGAATCCTTTCACATTTTCTGTGAAATATTATTAATATTAATATTATTTTGCAGCTAAATGCCTTTTGAGAGGAGGGGAGCTTCCCCAGTTTAGCACGATGGAGAGCCTTACTGCTTTGGAAGAGGATCTTTTTCCGGATTTATATCCCATCGTGGAGGAAAACAAGGAAGAAGAAACAGATACCTTGGAAGAACTTGAGCAAGACGTGGAAGGTTGGAAAGGTTTATCTTTTTATTGTTTGTCTGTTTGTTTATTTTGTATTTTTAGTTTGCAAAGCTAATCTGTGGCGTGTCTTTCCAGGATGGGGAGACTAGCAGTCTTCACCGATCTTAGAAAAGCAAAATGGGGTCAAACCTAGTTAATGCTCGGCTAGCAGATCACCCAGGTCACATACTGGGAAATTGTCCCTGTGTCTATTTTTTTTTTTTTTAAACAATACCCCCTTTTTTCTCTGCCGGTTTTCATGTGGAGCACTGACCCTTTAGTGCAGTGGTTCTCCACCTGTGGGTCGGGACCCCATTTGGGGTCGAACGACCATTTCAGGGGGGTCGCCAAACAACGCAGTCCGCCATTTTTTCCCCCTTTTCCTTGGCTGTGCTACTCCCTTTTATTCTATTGGCTTTTGAAAGCCAATAGAATAGACTCTCTTGAATAGAGTCTAATTCTATTGGCTTTCAAAAGCCAATAGGAATTGTCCAGGCTGTCTCTGCCCTGCTGAGCCCGCCAAAAGTCCCATTCTACAAACGGTGCTGCACCAGTTGAGTAGTCCTCGACTTACGACCAGTTGAGTAGTCCTCGACTTACGACCGGTTGGGGGTCGCGGCATTAAAAAGGTTGAGAACCACTGCTTTAGAACATTGTGTCCCTGAACCTCTGGTCTTGGAAGGTTTTGTCAAGCAGAGGGACCAAATCTTTAGGCCTTTTAGCAGAACAAAAATCTCTCCTTTCCCTCTAGGACTTGAAGAAGATGAGGTGGAAGCCCCCCCAGCTGAAGAAGAGTCTTTGGAAGGAGCCGAAGAGGCTACGGAAATTAGCAAGTGAGTCTGTACAGGTCGTCCTCGACTTATGACAGTTTGTTTAGTGACCGTTCAAAGTTACAACGGCACGGAAAAAAGTGACTTATGACCGTGATCAAAATTCAGATGCTTGGCTACTGCTTCATACTTACGACCTTTGCTGTGTCCCAAGGTCACGTGACCCCCTTTTGCGACCTTCTCACTAGCAAAGTTGATGGGGGAAGCCAGATTCACTTAACAGGTCCGTGTCACTAACTTAACAACTCCAGCGATGCAACTTAACAACGGTGGCAAGAAAGGTCGTAAAATGGGACGAAACTCATTTAACAACTGTCCCGCTTAACAATGGAAATTTTGGGGCAAATTTTGGTTGTAAGTCAAGGATTAGCCATATATATCTTTATTATGAACGATTCAGTTTACTTAAATAAAATCAACACAATAAATATGTCTAATGGGGTATTTTATTTTATTTTAAAAAGAGAAAGTTCCAAAGCAAGTTTTGGAAACGATGCTTCTTAAAAGCTGGGCTAAGTTCTGGGACTTCACCCAAGCTGAGAAGCTGCGTAAAGGAGAATGGGAAAGGGGCCTGGACCTACATCCTAGCTTAAGGCATCCCTCGACGTATTTATTGAAATAATTTGTACGCTCTCCCTGTCGGTCTCAAGGTGGCATTCCTTTAGGTTGAGACCTGCTTTTCTTACCAATAGGAAAAGTTCGGAAGAGTTCCCCGTGCCGAGCCAAGGGCGGACCATGAACTACACCGATCGGGTTCGTGTCCTCAACTTGCGTCGAAACCTGAATCAGCTTGACAGTCTCACCAAACAAAAAGAGCTTCTCATTCAAAAAACAAGGTCAGTCTCCTCGCCGCCATCTGCCATTTTCTGCCACGCGTAGCTCAAGAGACTTATTTCGGCTCCCTTTGGATGCTCGGAAGGAAATAACCAAATTAAACCCTCACTACCAAGCAATCCAAAGATGTACCAAATCAAAATCAGCACATTTATTCATTTACCGGCAGTCCTCGGCTTATGACCATAATTTCGGTCACGTCGGAGTTGTAAGTCACGACACCACATGACTGGACTCGAATTTTAAGGCTGTTTATACGACAATTGTTCAGCCCGTTTCTGTGGCCCTTAAGGAGACCACATGGTTCTGGAAAGAATCTAATGGGCATTTTTTTTTTTTGTCAGAAAACAGCAAAAAAAAAGTTGCAAAGTGGTGCTGCAACCGGTCATAAATGCAAGCCAGTTGCCAAGTGCTCAAAATGTGATCTCAGGACTGTGGAAGATGCTGCTTCTGCCATAACTCTGAGGACGGGTCCTAACTAACTTTTTGGGAATTCACCATAACTTGAAATGGTTATTAAGCCACTGGCCATTAATCAAGTATTGCTGTTTCAGGCTGTCACAACCAGTGCGGCATCTCTGGGTGCAGCACTGGAGCACGGAGCGCAAGTGGGACTGTCACAGAAGAAGTGAGATAGCCATCACGCACACACATAAGCTCCATCATCCCCAGCCACCGTGGCCAATGATCCGGCTGGCCAGGATAATAGGAAGTGTCGTTCTGGACCTCTGGAAGACAAGTTCAAGAAAGCAAAGCTAGACTGACTGTGTAGCTGGCCCACTTTGGTGGAAGTGCTTCCATCTTGACATTTCTCCCTTGGTTGGGTGAATGAAAATGATATGTAGATGACTAGTCCTCATGTTCTTTTGCCTGGAAGCCAGCAGATCGAAAGGGTGACCTGAGAAACATTCCCGCTAAAGGGGAGATTAGTACTTCTTTCCCTTTTCCCTTCTCCTCGCTTTTCCTCTTGTGTAGCACTTCTTCCCTGGCGGACCTTTGAGCTAATTTTTCCTTGGAATCCATGCACAGTATGTAGAACCCTTAGATGCTTTGCACCCACGGGAGGGCGAGCGATGCCACAGATGTCCAAAAAGAAACGGACTGTGCCAATTGCTCTGGCTGAATCCTCTTCTCCTATTTTCAGAGAAGAGTTGGCGACTTGCCGTGCTCGGCTGGACCTGCTCACCAGCCAGCAAAAAGACGTGGAGGAAGACATTGAGAACGAGAAGAAGGAGGGGAACACGTATGTAGTTTGGCCAGTTTGTTCTCCGGAGGGTAAAATTGGCTGAATTTGACTCAGTTTGGTAGTGGACAAATCTCTACCTCTTTGATTTCTTCTGTTTAAAGGTATTTAATGAGTTGGTGATTAAGGTCTTTGATAAATAAAACAGAGTTATCTCCAGAGACCACAGCCAGCTACAGGAGGGGTTAACCTTTTGCTGGGTGCAGGGGAAAAAAAAACCCAGCCAAGTGATGCCATCTTTTATCTGTCCCACAAGTTATTGGTGCGTAAAAGTGGGCTTTTCTCCAGCGAATCTGCAGTTGCTTTCAAACAGCTCGCTTTTCTTTGCTTTTACCTCAGAGGCAAGAACCACCCAGAAGAGTTAGAACCAGTGCTGGGGACAAACAATGGTTCCTCCCCCACCCCGCTGCCTTTTCTTGTTCAGTTTAATCGCAAAGAAATTGCTCTGGTTCATTTCCTTCCCCTCTCTTCTTAAAAACCTCCAGAGAAGGAACACCCACAACTTCTGAAGGCATTGCCGTGAATTGTTCCCATTGCCAGGACCATTCCTGCTTTGTTCTAGGCTGGATCTATTAAAATGAAACTGAAATTAAGACGTGAATGTTAATGTCTCCAGCACTGTGCCTTCTTCCTGGACCATGTCTAGGGCTCTGTGTACAGTGAAGAACCCATATTCTTTGTGCTTGGGTCACGCCAGTTACTGGGGCTGTCACGATTACTATCTTAAATGCAGGAGTTGGCTCTGATATCTACAGGGGGGATATAAAGAAGCTCTTATTTGAGGTTCTGCCTGTCAACTGGTGTAGAGGTTTTGAAAGAGACTGAAAAAGGAATAGATCCCTTTAGAGCATAATTGTGAAGCATCCCATTACTATAAAGCGGCAGAAGTTCCGAAAAAAACCCAACCGCCTGTACCCCTCCAGGCTGCAGGGTTGTTTCAGCTTTGTTTATGTGCTGACTTTTAACAATTCATTATTTCTAATTTTATTCCCCTTCCTTCCTTTCTTTCTTTCTTCCTTTTTTCTCCTCCTCCCCTCCCCTCCTTTTAAATGGCTCAGCACGGCCGTGTTCCGCCTTCAGGCATTGCATCGGCGCCTGTGTGCTGAACTGGGAAATGAAAAGGACCTTGAATCCAAAATCAGCACAGTCCTAAATGAAAACGTGTAAGTGGGAAAAGACGGGAGGGGGGAAGATCCTGGGTCAATTGATCCTTGCATTTTTCTCTTAGTGCCATTTAGTGGCTTGTCCTGACTTTTTTTGGAGAGGGGGGAGAAATCTCTGCTGAATGTTTTATAGGGTGAAGGGGAATGGATCTATAAATATGCAAAAAGCATTTTGATTCTCAAGTTGGCAGCAGCTTTGTTAGGAATGTTTGGGCTTCATTAAGGAAGCTTCCAGCCCCCCCCCTTTCTAACTCTTAACACTTCTGCCAAACGGAAATGCCTTAATATTCCTATATTGCTGACATTTCTTTTGTAATTCAAGAGGTCACCTTCGTATCTCCTCCCCTTCCCCCCCCCCCAATGAAACCTCGTAAGGGAGGCTAGCCTAGCTTGAAGCCACCTTGTGTATTTTCCTGGATGAAGGTGGGCTTGAATTTCTGGGACCCAATTTCTGTCGCTAAGTGATGCGAGGGTGGGGGGTTCCGGGGCCAACAACGGCTGCTTCCAAGCATAAGGCGGAGGGGCGACCACCCAAGCAGGTGGGATGCTGATCGGGCCTCCCTTGGCCCAGGTTTGAAATGTGGAAGATTGAAATAGAAGAAGGGAATTTTGACAAACTTCGCAAGCAGCTCAAGGTAGACGAGGCAGAGCTGGACCAGCAGCGCCGTGACCAGGCGGAGGAAAGGCTCCAGAAACAGGATGAGATGGCCCAGCTCTTGAGCCAGAGGTGGCAGAACACGGAAAGGTAGGCTGGATTTCAACCCCCTCTCAAGGATGCTTCAGCATCAGGAAGATCAGGAGATGAGCCGAGGTGGCGCAGCAGCTAGAGTGCAGTACTGCAGGCCACTTTAGCTGACTGTGTTCAGCAGGTCAGCGGTTCAAATCTCACCGGCTCAAGGTTGACTCAGCCTTCCATCCTTCCGAGGTAGGTAAAATGAGGACCCAGATTGTTGTGGGGGCAATGTAAATATATATATATATATATATATATATATATATATATATATATATATACATTGCTTACTGGTGTACACCGCTTAGAGAGTGCTTGCACTTAAAGCGGTATATAAGTCTCATAAATAAATAAATAAAATAAATAAGTGATCAGCCTACAATCCGGAGAGTATGGTGTACAAAGGAAAAAGGGGTGGGGAGGGAGGAGGGAAATGGCAAATTTGAGCCTCAGACCTCAACAAGGGAGAAAACAGCTTCGGGTACCCTGACAGGACGACTGATAAAAAAAAGTATCTATTGGGAAGATTCTTTTCTGTCTATTGTACGTTGGGATTCGGCAGCCCCCTTTGAAAGATTCCTTCTTTTTTTCTCTCTCTCTGTAGAAAAATCCAGGTAGCTAGCAAGGCTTATGAAGAAAACCTGGCCAAAGTGCTGGAAGAGTCTCAGAGGAACCACGCAAAGGCCGTCCGGTTCCTGAAGGAGAGTTTAGGAAAGTATGTTGTTTACTTGTCCCTCCTCTGTCTCTCCTTTCAAAGAATAGAAGAGGTCTGGCCCATTAACCTTTGGGATTTCCTTCCCCAACCTGTGGTTGGAGGTATGAGCTACGCTACTGTGTTATGCTGCTGTGTTTCAGCTCCTGAATGAATCATAGAGTCCTAGGGCTGGAAGGGACCTTCTAGGCCAGTGGTTCTCCACCTGTGGGTCGGGACCCCATTTGGGGTCGAACGGCCCATTTCACGGGGGTCGTCAAACAACGCAGTCCGCCATTTTTTCCCCCTTTTCCTTAGCTGTGCCACTCCCTTTTCTTCTATTGGTTTTTGAAAGCCAACAGAATAGACTCTCTTGAATAGAATCTAATTCTATTGGCTTTCCAAAGCCAGTAGGAATTGTCCAGGCTGTCTCTGCCCTGCTGAGCCCGCCAAAAGTCCCCTTCTGCAAACGGTGCTGCACCCGTTGAGTAGTCCTCGACTTACGACCGGTTGAGTAGTCCTCGACTTACGACCGGTTGGGGGGGGTCGCGGCATTAAAAAGGTTGAGAACCACTGTGCTAGGCCAATCCTTGGCCCAAGGCAGGGGTCCTTATACCATCCTGGACAAATGGATGACCCATCTTTTCTTGAAAACCTCCAGTGTTGGAGCATCCACAACTGCGGGAGGCAGGCTGTTCCATGGATTAACTCTTCCCACTGTCAGGAAGTGTCTCCTAAGTTGGATCTCTCTTTGATGAGCTTCCATCCATTACTTCTTGTCCTGCCCTCTGATGCTTTGGAGAAGAGATAGAGAGATAGAGCCCTCTTCTCTGGGATAGCCCCTCAAATATTGGAAGACAGCTATCATGCCATCCCTAATCCGCCTCTTCGTTAGGCTAGACATATGAGATCAATGTATGATAACACTGTGTAGAATTTATATAATAGTATGAGGTCCTATGAGATCAAGGCTGCCTGCTCTCCTAGGTCCCATTGGAAAAGGCCTCAGCTAGCCTGCTGTAGAAGGACAGGAGAGGTGGAGCTTAGCAAACCAGGTGAGCCATGGCTCGCTAAACCTGGTTTGTTGAGTGCATTAAGCAGGTGGGCTCCCACAGCATCCTTCCCTTTGATGAGCATCAGTCAAAATGGCTTCACCTTCACCAATATGCATCAGGTTTGATTCTTTTCCGACAGGGTTCGCGAGAAGGAATTGGCGGAGGAACAGAACCGCCAGGAACATTTGCAAAAAAGGATGGAAACGGTTTTGTCTCTGAAGAACAGCATCAGTTTGAACCGGGTAAGGGCTAACTGCCTGAGAAGGAGACCATGCCACTGTTTTTACAAGAAAGCTTATCAAAATTGGGCCTTCCAGTTTCAATTAAACTCCACTGGTGTGGGAAGAATCCTACCCCAGTCTTTTTTTTTCCTTTTAGCCTGCAAAGAAGGAGTTTGTAAAGGGATGGAGACATTTGTATCGGTAATGCAACACCACTAGCGATAGTTCGCAACTGCCGTTTTGCAGAAATAAATGGGACATGGCCAAACAATGTTCAAAATAAAGTCAAACAACAGAAGTCTCATCGTAAGGAGGCTTCATTCTTAGATCAGGCTAAGCCACGATTTTAACTCTGCATTTCTGACTAAGCCACAAGCGGCCCTGGGCCATTTTCCAGATCAATCAAACCATGTTATGTTATGACTTTGAATATAATTGATAGGATTTGTTTTGGAGGGGGAAAAAAAAAGAAATTACAGCAGTTCATTTAATGACCATTTGAAGTTACAATGGCATTGACAATAGTGACTTATGACCATTTCACACTCAAGACCGTTGCAGCACCGCCGTGTCACGTAACCAAACTTCAGACACTTGGCAACTGACTCATATTTACGATGGTGGCAATGTTCCAGAGTCATGGGATCACTTTTTGTGACCTTCTGGCATGCAAAGTCAATGGAGAATCCAGACTCATTCAAGAACTGTTGTGACTAACTTAACTTGCAGTGATTCGGTTAACAAACGGTGACAAGAAAGGATCATAAAACGGGGCAAAATCTACTTAACAAACTGTCTCGCTTTGCGACATAAATTGGGCTCCGTTGTGGCCATAAGCCGAGGACCACATGCAACTTTGGAAAGCAATTGAAATCTGGAGTGGGATCCCTGCTGACTTCCGCCCTCATGAACTGCTTTCTTTGCAATTCCCCAAACAAAGGTTTAATTTAATTTTATTTTTTTAATACTCTTTTTCTAGGAAAATCTCCGAACCCGTCAAGTCCTGGGCAAATTGATTGCACTTGATGCTGAAGAGCAAGACCAGAAAATAAGGGAAGCCATTTTGGCTAAAGGACACAATGTGACCCGGGAGTTTTTTTGCCAGAAGCGACAAATCGAGTTTGAAAAGCGGAAAAAGTGAGCTGCTAATTTTCAGAAATGTCATGTTAACGGTGGCGTGCTGATAAATTAACAGCCTTACGGGTTATTCTCCATTTAAGTCCTTCATAGGTCAGACCTCAGTTAGAAAGGGTCAATTATGCAGGGGGGAAAAAGTTTTTGTTTTTTTTTAAAAAAAATATTTGGACTAGAATTCTTTGCCATTAATTAATTAAGAATTAAGCCTTCCTAACGTTTCAGCTCCATTTTCTGCCGGGATGTGCTTAAAACGATTCCTATTTTTCCAATAGCTGAAGTATCATTTTAAAAGTACCAATATACCTGTGTGTGCATACAATTATTTTTCCCTTTCTGTACGTTATTATTTTTAAAAAAAATTAAGCTCCAGAAAATGTTGCCTAGAAGTCAGAACCTCAAATTTAGAGCAGTAGATCTGGAGAATAGAATCATTAAACCCTCTCCAATCCAATCCCCCTTCCTGACAGCTTGTCATTTCTTGTTAAAAACATGGAAATTAATTCTTAGTTAATTCTAGTCCAGTGGTTCTCAACCTGTGGGTCGGGACCCCATTTGGGGTCGAACGACCATTTCACGGGGGTCACCAAACAACGCAGTCCGCCATTTTTCCCCCCTTTTCCTTAGCTGTGCTCCTCCCTTTGATTCTATTGGCTTTTGAAAGCCAATAGAACAGACTCTCTTGAATAGAGTCTAATTCTATTGGCTTTCAAAAGCCAATAGGAATTGTCCAGGCTGTCTCTGCCCTGCTGAGCCGCCAAAAGTCCCATTCTGCAAATGGTGCTGCACCAGTTGAGTAGTCCTCGACTTACGACCGGTTGAGTAGTCCTCGACTTACGACCGGTTGGGGGTCGCGGCATTAAAAAGGTTGAGAACCACTGTTCTAGTCAATCAGCAGTACTTTTTTTCAAGCCGGTGAGAGGAGACCTGAATTTTAGCAGCTGATAGCCACCAGCTATCTGAGTTCTTTTGCTAGCATCCTCGACCGTCTGTTTCAAAGGAGGATATTTGCTAATGCAATAAGAGCGCAGCTCACAAAATAAAGCACACACTTTCCCTTTTTAATATATATTTTTAAAAAGGATAAGAGGATTAATGCGTTTGGGCTCAGAGGTCAGTAGTTTGCTCCCTCTGTTTCCCTGTTTCCAGTTTATCTCCATTGTCTGCCATTGCTTCCCCCACAGGGAGTTTCTGGAACAACAGAAAGCAAGAAAAATTGAAATAGTCGCTCGGATATTGAAAGAAGAAGGCCAGGTGGAGAAAATGAAAGCACAGTCTCGTCTCCAGGAATCTAAAGACCCGGACAAACTCTCCGACGCTGTTAAGTGGCGCATGAAAACATGGCGTTACATTGAGGAAACGTGTAGCGATAAGGTGGCACCTGTCACTCAGGTGAGAGAAAGCAGAGAGAGATTGTTGGATTATTAGATCAAAATCTTTCTACTTCCTTCCTTCAATTAGCACCTTGTAATGGCCCAGAACGGAAAAAATCTCCAAATCTGAATCTAAGTCCTGTGGAATTTCATTGCCGCAAACATCAGCCTGGAGGTTTAAATTATCTTAATTTTTCTTTTTTCATAAATAGCAGATTTAAATGGGATGAAACCCGTGTGGACCTTTCTTGGTTTGCTGACCCCAGTAATAAAGATGAGCTATACTGGTCCCAAAGCAAAGACTTAGTGACTTATTGCCTCCTTGCTTTGTCTTCAAAGGTGGTCAGAAAGAACATTTATTTGGAAGCGGTGATGGTTCTGCTCCAAATTACTGAATTTTGCACCGTTCAGTTTCCATTGACAAGACAAACAATTTATTTGGAAGTAACAATGAGTCTGCACCAGATTATTGAATTTTGCATTGTTCAGTTTCTGGGAGTTTATGATGAATTTGATGTGGTTTTTTTCCTCGTAATTTTTCCAAGATTCTGTGATTAATTCACTTGTCCAAATTGCCCTTTGACTTTTTGCCACTCATGCGCGTCTCTGTTCTGTGGCAGAAACCTCGGCGCAGCCCTTCCATTTCCCCCTCGCTGGATGACAGAAGCTTTACCGCCTCTTGTGAGCCCATCCCCGAAAGCAAAACCGAAGGCGAAGAGGAAGATGCGGATAATGTTCTTGCGGAGCCAGAATTTGTTGGGATTTGGGACCAAGAATATAACTCATTGCAGGTTCAGATCCATCTTTCTGGCTTTTCCGTTCATTTATTTATTCTCGGCCTTTTCTCACTGGGTTGAACGCGAGGTCCATTCTCCCAAGTGGGTTGGAAGCTTGTCTCTTTCTTTCTTTCTTTCTTTCTTTCTTTCTTTCTTTCTTTCTTTCTTTCTTTCTTTCTTTCTTTCTTTCTTTCTTTCTTTCTTTCTTTCTTTGTCTTTCTTTCTTTCTTTCTTTCTTTCTTTCTTTCTTTCTTTCTTTCTTTCTTTCTTTCTTTCTTTCTTTCTTTCTTTCTTTCACCCCGCTGTTTTGTTCAGTTAAAAAAATCAGATGGTTAACCTTTGCGCATCTGATCTCAGCTGTTCTGCAGCATTAATCTCTCAGTGTTGGGCTGTTCCATTGATGTTGACTCTTAACCTTGTCCTCTTTTGTCAACGTATCCTGGTCCCACTGAAGTCAAGACCCCATGCCACCATTTCCCCAGTTTTAAACTCAACAGGGAGCTAACGTTTTTCTCCTGCTGCCAAAACGGACTCAAGGCTAGATGCTAGCGAGTGCCATTTTTTGCTCCTCCCCACTTGATTCCCGACTGGATGGCAAAACACACACATTTACCAAGAGATGAACTCAAATCTGTCACCCTGTTCCACATCCCTATTTACTGTGTTTTTAGGATAACAGAATAACCAAGTTGGGAGGGACTTTGGAGGTCTTCTAGTCCAACCCCCTGCTCAAGCAGGAAACCCTATATCATTTCAGTCAAATGGTTGTCCAATCTCTTCTTTAAAACCTCCAGTGTTGGAGCACCCACCTCCATTGATTAATTGCTCTCACTGTCCTTAGTTCCAGGTTGCTTCTCTCCTTGATTAGTTTCCATCCGTTGCTTCTTGTCCTGCCTTCAGGTGCTTTGGAGAATAGCTTGACTCCCTCTTCTTTGGGGCAGCCCCTGAGATACTGGAAGACTGCTATCATATCATCCCTAGTCCTTCTTTTCATTAAACCAGAGGATGGTATAGGGTCTCCTGCTTGAGTATGGGGTTAGACTACAAGGCCACCAAGGTCCCTTTCAACCCTGTTATTCTATGTTCAGGGTTCTAGATTTAAATACACATTTTTTATTAAGTCAGTTGGAGCAAAGACCTGGTAGGCGTCAAAAGACACCATGTTGCCAACCCCTACTTTAGCTGGAGAGCTTCCCATTTATAAAGGAAGACAGGAAGTAAATGGAGAAAGCCACCATTTCCCCGCAAATTTGTAGGTTCCAGCCTTTTTGGATCAAATGCTTTCTTTATCGAGCTGTTTTATTTTATAAAGTCCTTTACAAACCAGCATGGCCCACTTCTCAGGAACTGGATGACAAAATTGATTCCAAACCTCTCGGCGTGTCGAAACTTGAAAAGGACATTTTTACCCGGAACTTGGAGAAGCTCCATGCTGGAATCATTCGCAAACACCGTGTTTGTGGGCGAGAGTTTAAAGGGTGTCCGTTTTACAGCAAGCCAAGCCTCATTCATTTCAAGGTGAGCTATGACTTGATCAACTGCATTCACAAAGCGAGCCGAAGTTGGATGGTTTTGGCTCGGTCTCTTTGTTCTTGTGGTGTGTCTGACCCAATAAATACATTCTGTTTAATCGAATGTTCTCCAGTTTAGCCGTTGTGTTGCACTGATCAACCCATCATGCTTTTCAGGACACTCCTTATTTAAAAAAAGTGGAGCTAATATAATATTTTTAAAATATATATATATATTTCTAGGACTTTGATGTCGGAAAAACCTATAAAAAGAAGGTGACTCTGATCAATGCCTTCTACAGTATCAACTACTGCAAGTTGGATGGCGTCAGCGAACATTTGAAAGATTTTTTCACTGTGCTGTAAGTCAAGATATGTTCATCATGTCATCAGGATTTGTGGATCGTATGGCTACATGGGCATTCTGGACACATACGAGGGAGAAAGAAAGTTCTCTGTAAGATAATAATAAGCGGGCTGTCAGGATGCCGACATTTTAACTTTCTGAAAAGTTAAGAACTCTTAGTAATGCATGTTGAAATGGGCAATTGCTTTGCCAGAGTAAACAGTTAGAACAGTGGTTCTCAGCCTGTGGGTCGGGACCCCATTTGGGGTCGAACGACCATTTCATGGGGGTCGCCAAACAACGCACTCTGCCATTTTTTCCCCCTTTTCCTTAGCTGTGCTCCTCCCTTTTATTCTATTGGCTTTGGAAAGCCAATAGAATAGACTCTCTTGAATAGAGTCTAATTCTATTGGCTTTCCAAAGCCAACAGGAATTGTCCAGGCTGTCTCTGCCCTGCTGAGCCCGCCAAAAGTCCCATTCTGCAAACGGTGCTGCACCAGTCGAGTAGTCCTCGACTTACGACCGGTTGAGTAGTCCTCGACTTATGACCGGTTGAGGGGTCGCGGCATTAAAAAGGTTGAGAACCACTGAGTTAGAAGAAGAAAAAGATGATTAGGGGAGTTCTCTGTTTCTCCTCACTACACACATTGAAAAACATTGAGTGAATAGTGTCTGAAGTAAAATTGGTTTTCTACTCCATGAATGTCCAACCAGCAACGGTGAAAAATGTCTCCCCCCCCCCGCTTTCCTTAGAAATACTGCCGTGATCCAGTGATGCTCTCTTTCCTTTTCCCTCGCAGCTTTGATCCCCCGGGTCCGATGTCTTCAGGAATGTCTTGTGAAGTTGGGGTGACCTTTAAACCTATGGTAGGAGAAGTGCCCAGTCTGCCTGATTAAATGGGCCCGGCCGCTTGGAAACTTCGCAACAGCCCTGAAGCTTGAAGGCCGAGTCACGCTTGGTTGACAGCCGGGTGACAGCCCTGGCCTTGACGTCCAGATTTTTGAAAAGGCCTCGTTGTGGAGTGAGGAGCGAGTGGAAGGAATTACCAGGCCACCCAGAGACAGTTTCTTCATTTTCACTTTAGGGCAGTGTTTCTCAACCTTGACCATTTTAAGGCATGTGGACTTCAACTCCCAGAATTCCACAGCCAGCATTGCTGGCTGTGGAATTCTGGGAGTTGAAGTCCACATGACTTAAAATGGTCAAGGTTGAGAAACACTGCTTTAGGGTTGTTTATTTTCTTTCAACTGCGGGTTTTCAGGCCCTGAAAAGCGTTTTCCATCCTGTTGCAATTTTTCTTTTTTAAAATTGTTTCAAACAAAATTTAGCCTCTTCGCGGGAAGAGCTACTCGGGTTGTTCCCCAGCGTTTCAATTTAAAACCGTGGCAAAGACCCCGAGGTTTTCTCTGGTTGACGGGTCACCAGTGATTGCTTTTCAGCCCAGGATCTCATTAGTTCTCTAGGACTAAGGGCAATTCGATAACCACTCTGGGGGCTCTCAGGGGGCGGTAGCCTAGATTCCCCCTAGTGCTATAAATACACCAATTTGAACTATTTTAAGTCTGGAGAAACGTCTCTCGCTTCCGTGCTTCAGCCTGTCGCAGGTCGTTCTCCACCTACGAAATCATCCAGTTTGGTGACCGTTCAAAGTTACAACAGCATTTTTTGTCACACTCAGTGGCCATTGCAGCACCCCCCCCCCTAAAAGTATCTGCTGGTTTTCTTTCAGATAAATGAAGATCTTGAAGGAGAAGTCACCTTTTTATCCCAGACTGGATCCTTTTCCATCCCCCTGAAGTGCTCGACCAAGAAATGCGTGGTAGGTCCAGATTTTGCCTTAGGATCAGGAGAGGAAAAATTTTATCTGCTTTGGTATATACTATAGAGAGGAGCAAAGGGGGAAAAAAATGCTAGCAGGAAAAGAGGAGAAGAAGGAAGATGCCTGGGAGAATTCAAAGGCATAGTGGCCTAGCGGCGTCTCAATAAATAAACTGCCCGTTTTTTTCCCCCTTGAATTAATTCTACAAATCATTTACTCTGTAGCCAGCGCTGTATGTTTGGAGGAGGCAGCCGTGAAATGACACTCTAGCAAGCATAGGGGTACATCTTTTGATTTGGATGGCAAGCATTGTGCTAAATAAACCCAGAGACGTGTAAATCCTTTGTCACACATGGCAGGAGATTCCCTTTTAATATATTTAAAAGTGAAGGCGAGCGAAAGAATAAATGAATACAGAAAACGGGCAGAAGCTTAGTTTTCTCTCCCTCTCCGTCAGTGTTATTTTATTTCTTTGTTAGATTTTTATCTGGCTTTTCCCTCAGGGACTCTCTCCTCCAGTTTTGAACCCACAACACCCTGCGAGGTGGACTGGGGCTGAGGTCGAACCGCTGGCAGAGTTTGATTCAGCAAGCCCATTTATCCTTTCCAAGTCCAGCACCTTAACCATTTCCCCATGAGAGGTGTGTGTGTGTGTGTCTGCATGCATTTGTGTGTCTCGCACACACATCTGGAGACATAATTTCCCACCCTCTCCTTCTTCTTCTTCTTCTTCTTCTTCTTCTTCTTCTTCTTCTTCTTCTTCTTCTTCTTCTTCTTCTTCTTCTTCTTCTTCTTCTTCTTCTTCTTCTTCTTCTTCTTCTTCTTCTTCTTCTTCTTCTTCTTCTTCTTCTTCTTCTTCTTTTCTCTTCTTCTTCTTCTTCTTCTTCTTCTTCTTCTTCTTCTTCTTCTTCTTCTTCTTCTTCTTCTTCTTCTTCTTCTTCTTCTTATTCTTCTTCTTCTTCTTCTTCTTCTTCTTCTTCTTCTTCTTCTTCTTCTTCTTCTTCTTCTTCTTCTTCTTCTTCTTCTTCTTCTTCTTCTTCTTCTACTTCCATATCTGTTATCGGATGTTGGCGATCACGTTGGCGATCCTGGAACATCGCAACTATCCTAAATACATATCTATAGCCAAATGCCCAAATTTTCATCACAGGACCATGGGGATGCTGTGGGTCGTAAGTGTGAGGGCTGGTTATTAGTCACGTCGTAACTTTTAATAGCTGCTAAGCAAATGGATGTAACTCGAGGACTTCCTGTAGCGATGCAGAAGCACTGGTGCTTCTTCGCTGAACTGACCCGATTGCCCCTGTGGCGTTAAATTAAATTATTTCCCTGTCCACGCCTTCCACTTTCTCTTTTTCTCAGCTGTCCCTAGATAAAGAGCTCATACATTTTGGCATGCATGTGGTTGGGGAGACCATTTCACGGACCATCACCTTGATGAATGACGGGGCCTTGGGGACACGGTTCCAGCTCCGAAAATTAGGTGACACCAAGGCTCCGCACACAACGCCACCTTCCACCGAGAAGCCGGTAAATCTGCATTAACCTCTTCCGTTCATCAGTCTATCTAAAAATAGCCAGCAGTTGTCATTGTCCTTCTCCACCCCACCCCGAAAAGATCAATTTCAAGGTCCTTTCAGCCGGCTTGGGAGCGCTTTCCAAAAAGTCAGTCCTTGCAACTTTGCTCCAACTAAATAAAGGTCTCTTTCATTTTATTATTCTGACCAGAAAGGGTCAAAGCCCTCCTCAGCTCCTTCAGTGGAACATCCCCTTCCTGAGGCTTGCAGTGAAGCCAAAGTCTGAAGGGATCGGTGGGAAGAGAAGAACGGAAATAATTTAGAATAGAAATGGTGAAACAGATTTCAATAGATTCTTGAACTTTGGAATTAGAAGCGGCAAAAGGTTTTGCTACGGTTTCTTTGTTAAGATTCATGAACCTAAGCCAGTGGTTCTCAACCTGTGGGTCAGGACCCCATTTGGGGTCGAACGACCATTTCATGGGGATCGCCAAACAATTCAGTCTGCCATTTTTCCCCCCTTTTCCTTGGCTGTGCTACTCCCTTTTATTCTATTGGCTTTGGAAAGCCAATAGAATAGACTCTCTTGAACAGAGTCTAATTCTGTTGGCTTTCCAAAGCCAACAGGAATTGTCCAGGCTGTCTCTGCCCTGCTGAGCCCGCCAAAAGTCCCATTCTGCAAACGGTGCTGCACCAGTTGAGTAGTCCTCGACTTACGACCAGTTGGGGGTCGTGGCATTAAAAAGGTTGAGAACCACTGATCTAGGCAGTAAGAGAAGATGCTTGAAGTTTGAAGTGATGTGAAATCCCAAATTTTTCGTTTACGTTTTGTCCCCTTCAGTCCATGCAGTTTTTTTTTTTTTTGCTTGGTTTATGCAACAGGCTCAACCATAATTTGGCTTGTTGGGTTTAGCGTAGTCTTCTTTGCACATCCAAGCACTTGTGGCTTCTTAATAAACCACAAATAACTAAGTGATGGCTTGGTACGGCTTAGGAACTGCATTCTAATTTTTTTTCCCCATCTATTTTTTTTAACCACGTGCCATTTCCTAACCAGCTGGCAAATATTGCCAAGGTAAGAAGATATTCCGGCATGTGGTGGGTTTTTTTTTTTTTTACCTCCCCTAAAAGTGTCCGTTCTGGGACACGAAACATTTAGCCGATGCTGGTGGATCTGAAAGAATCATCTTCTGTCATCACAATGGGAAGTGCAATTCGGTCTGGAGATGCATAACCTCAAACGTTGAGGGTCCCTCTGGGAAAATCATTGGAATTGGACTGTTTTCAACAAAGCCGTCCGTCCTTCCCGTATTCCGATTAGGTCAACCCTGCTACGGGTGAATTATTCAGCACGGAGAAAAGCAGCTACAGTATAGGAACTGACGCCGTGTCTCTGTCCCATTCGGAAGAAGTTACTCCAAACACTGCCCTGTTGGAGAAGCTACATAGTGATGCCATTGTGACCACCACAAATGGTATGGGGCTTCCTCTCTGAATACCCACCTTTCAAAAGAGAGAGGGGGGGAGGGAGAGAGAGAGAGAGAGAGAGGAGAGAGGAGAAAGGGAGAGAGAGGAAAAAGGGAGAGAGAGAAAGGGAGAGAGGAGAAAGGGAGAGAAAGAGAGAGAGAGAAAGGGAGAGAAAGAGAGAAGGGAGAGAGAGAGGAGAAAGAGAGAGAGAGAGAGAGAGAGGAGAAAGGGAGAGAGGAGAGAGGAGAAAGGGAGAGAAAGAGAGAGAGAGAGAGAGAGAAAGGGGGAGAGAGAGAGAGAAAGCATTTTTATGATAGGCAGAGCCCTGTGGTGGATATAATGTCTGATTCTCCTCTTGTTTCCTTTTTCAAGAGCCGCAGGCAGCCTCTGAGACGGACATTGCTGGAGAAATCCCGCCCGTTTCTCCAGATGCCAGTCCCCTGGAAGACCCCCCGGAAGAGATCTGCGAATTAAAATTGGGCAAGGTAACAAAACAATGGAGAACTCGTTTGATCCGCCTTGAACGAAGGTGGCACTCGTGGATGGATCCAGGTTGTGTGATGTCCAAGTGGCCAGTCACGAGAGCGGATGATCAAAAAGAGACCCAACCTAGAACGAAGGAGAGTCCTGACCATGAGAACAATTAATTGGTGGGACAGTTTTCCTCCCCAAGTTGTGGCTGCCCCAACACTGGAGGTTTTCAAGAAGAGACTGGGCAGCCCTTTGTCTGGAATGGTCAAGGGCAGGGGTGGGCAACTAGGGCCCCTTTACGGCCGGTGGACTTCAACTCCCAGAATCCTTAAGCCAGCCATAGTTTCCCATCCCTGTATAAGGCCTGCCCAAGCAAACTAGAAGACATCTAAACTCCCAGCCAACTCTGTTATTCTATTTTTCCACTCTTGAGTTCACAGTAAGAAAATGGTAGAATAAAACCGCTTAAAAATCTTTTAAAAAGAGCCTTTGCTGAAAGTTACCCATAAACAGAACTACTGAACTTCCAGCGACTATCTTTGATGATTCTTTCTTTTTGCTTACCTGCAGGTAACTGAGGGTGATATTGGGCCTTTCAGCTCTGTCAAACTTCAGATTATTTTCACACCTGTGGTTCCCGGGACCGTCCAGGCTGACTTGGAGATTATCTTTGAGAACCCAGATTGCAAACCAGTGAGTGGTGGGATAAATGTCTCTCCCCCTCCCTTGCTGCAGATGTGTTAAGAACAGGGCCAACCAATTAGGGGAATTGCCTTTTGAAGAAAAAAAAGCACCGTTGAAACGACGACGACGATTGAGAATCTCCACAGACCTTCTCCACCTTACTTACAAAGTGGGAAAGGTTGGATTAAACGCACCTTACAAAATCATAACTCTATCCGTGAGACTCTGAACTCCCCTTAATTTGCACTGCGGTACAGAGTGAGGCTAAGGAAAATAGCATCCTCATTTCCTCAACCTAAGGAAAAGAACTTAAAACAGGCTACAATGTGGTATTAGACCTGGGAGCTAATTATCCATAAGCAGGTTATGAAAGAAAAATGAAAAAGTTGTTTATCGGTAAGAACCATGGCAAGCATGAAATTGGGATGGTGCTTTTTATAAAAAACATGCCAGAGTCGACATTTCTGGACCCTTTTGAGTTTTCACAGATTTACCTTTAGTTGCAGATTGGGGTCGTTGCCGTCTCAATGGCCGTGCCGGTCCGGGTGTGCAATCCCACAGTTGACCTGAAAATCTGCATGTATGATCGACTTTACCAGGACTGCATCGTGGTCCAGAGCAGGTGAGCAGTGTGTGTAATACAGTTCTAGCCCAACACCGTGCCATTTTTAAAAAAATTTTGAAGGACAGGTGTGTAATGTTAGGCTGCTTGAAAGAAGCCTACTTTTAATAGAACTGCAAGGAGTTGTAAGGTTACAAACGGGGCTGGGCTGCCGAAGACAAGACCCTGTGCGCGCGCAGTGTTTGCTTTTTCCGAAAAGTGTTGCCGTCTTTGCTGGCACGCGCCAATTTCCACCTTTCTCTCAGTCTGCAGCTTCAGCTAGCAAGATGTTCTGAAGCCCCGCTATTTTTAATTCCCTTTTCATCCTCGACGTTTGACGTTCTATTTTGAATGCGAGCAAATAGGATTGGCTTTTTTTAAAAAAACGTATGCTGGATTATCCTCTTCTCCTTCGTTTCCTTTGTGTGTGTTTTTTAAAATAACGTCTCTTGGAAGCCCGTACATATTCTCAGTTCCTTACTAGACCTTCAACCCTCCCAAGATTTTTTTTTTTTCACAATTGGAAGAGAATGCAGATGTTATCTCCAAAATTCAGCTTCCAAAGGTGACAAATAGCTGAGTTATGACACGGATCTTGCTGGAGGGTTTCTATCTTTCCACCCTCCCCCGGGGACAAAAGATAAGATTAAAAATACAGAGCGATGGTTTCTGGATTCATCTCACCCTGGATTCCGAGGGTCTGAAATTCAGCTTCACTGCGCCAATGTCTCACTTAGCAACATACATTTTTGGCCTCGATTGTGACGGTAAGTCCACATGACCTCTCCGCTCTCTTGCCTTCCTCTCTGCAGAGCGACCAGCGCCTTGCGCCTGAAGTTTGAAGTTTGCAAGGAGCTGGCTAGCTACGTGGAGCTGCTGCCCAAAACGGGCTATATCCAAGCCCAGTCTTCCTTCAGCGTCCAGTTGAAATTCCTTCCAAGGTAAGGAAGGCCCCGGCTCCTTTTGGTACGTCCCGCTTGAACTTCCGAGTGCCTTTTTTTATTCCCTTGGCTGAGTGAAACTCTCGTTTTGGAGAGCGGTTAGAATCATGTGAATTTGAGCAGCAAATCCTTTTCTGTCCACTTGAGTGGGAATAGTTGAGGGGTGAGTGGAGGTGCCAAGACATTGGGGGGGGGAGGCCCAGCAGGGCTTCATCCGTGCGGCACCGCACTCCCACCGAAGGTGACTCAGAATGGCTGCTAATGAATTCCCATCAACGTCAAAAGGAACAGATTGCCCGCCATGGGTGCCTTAGCTAACTACAGCTGGGACCTCGGAAGCTCGCATCCTGATTTACTGTGCAACTTTCAAGTTCTATTTATAGCCAAAAATACTGTCCTGAACGCAGAGCAATCTCTTGGTCTTTTAAAAAAAAAAAAAAAAAGCAGTAAATACAGCATCGGCTTATCGTCGGTTCCTATTTAAGATCCCAGGCGGGCAGAAGGATTTCCTGGTGGAGGAAAAGCAATGAAAGCATTGTCTCGACATCCCCGCGCGGAATCGAGGCTTAAAAACCTGCTTGGTCAGACTAATCATTTGTTCTGCCAAAAAGACAAAGAGAGGGAGAAAAAAAAATCTCCCATATCGTAGTTGTTTGGACGGGAAGCAGTTACTTGAAAATAGGTAACCCCGAATTATTTGCAGGTTGTAAAATGGAAGGTTCCGTTCCTCCACTTATTTCTTTCCTTCTGTTTATTCAAGTGACCGGCTGCCTCTTTTTCTGTCGCACGACTCTTTGCACTCAGCCCTGCTTGGCTGTGGGATGTTGAATAAACCAGGATGGCTAGTTCTCTTAATTCCACAAGTGGGGGAGGCTCTGATAGGCAAATGACTATGGATGGGCTGAAATCAAACCACAGTGTGGGATTCATGGAACATGGGTGCGGCTCAGGAACTAAGATCCACAGGTCATGAAAGGGGCCATAGTTGCCCACCCTCTGCTTTGGCAACTTCCTTCAGCCTGGACACCCCCCGCCCCCATTCCTTTCTCTTTCAGAATCTCCCTTTCAAAAGATGCCAAGAAGTACTTTGACGAGAGGACGCGAGTTCTGGAAGCGCCCATGACTATCATTGTTTCCGAACAGGTCAGCCAGGCCAAACTTGGCTTTTTTGCTCTGTAAGCACAAGCCAGGTCCTATCTCTTTCTGGACCAACCAAGATTCTTTGCCCCTGTTCAACTGTAATATTCTGATCGTTTTGCCGCTCGGCCTCATTTCCTGGTTTTAGAGCAAGCCCGTTGAATTCACCATGCACGCCATCCTCACCACTTCGGATTTAGAGATCAGCCCAGCCGAAGTGGATTTTGGATACTGCTCTATCTACGAAGCTGTTCGGACAACAATCACACTCACCAACAAAGCAATTCTCCCGCAGGAGTTTGGCTTCGTCGAGCTGCCCAAGGTAAAAAAAAAATATTTTTGTCCCAGGATGGCATTCCTAGTGTGATCCGTCCTAATTTCTGACGTTTTTACTTCTGGTGGAAAGGAGCTTTAAAGCAAATCTAAATAGCCATGAGGACTAGTAGCTTGGCTTGTGTAGAATGGGGAGGGGGCAGCAGAAGTCCAGAGTCAATACAATAGTCAAGAGGTTTCCTTTTTTGCTTTGTAATCTCATTAAATGTATAAGAATTCCGAGAATCAAGTTTAAAACAACCCTTTCGATAGGGTAAAATGTCTATAATTTAGACATTAGAAATGATAGGATGTTCCTTTAAAAAAAAAAGATTGTCCATTTTCTAATACTTTTTCCTTGGTCATTTTTTTCCTCCTAAATTTGGAAAGTTTGTAGAGGTTCAGCCCAATGATGGGTTTGGAATACTCCTGCCTCTGGAAAGCTTGAGCCTGGATGTCATCTTCAAAGCCAAGAAAGCTAAAATTTACAGTTTTGAACTGATTTGCAAGACCGAGATCAACAGGTACGTGTAGGTTTCAGTGGATCGATCCGACCTTTAGAAGATTTGCTGTTTTTAATGTCGCTTTATTACTGGGTTTAAATTTTCTTAGCCATCCTTAGGAGTTTTCTTTTTCCCTTAAAAGCAACATGAAGACCTCTTGTTTAAATCCAGTACTACCCCACACAGATGCCACAAAGCAGTGGGGATTTCTCTTCAGTTGCAGAAGGGGGTGACAAACTGCCCACTCGGTCACGCCGCTTCTTTGAAAAGGGTACGACGGTGACCCGGAAACATTTCGGTCCCGTTTTCCAATTTTAGGGAGTTCAAGCTGTCCTGCAAGGCTGTCGGCGTCCACCCGCCCCTTGTGCTTTCCCACTCCTTCGTCCAGTTTCCGGCCACGGCTCTGGACGACGTGTCGGCCGCCACCCTCTTCGTCATCAACCCTCATGAGAGGATCAGCCACTTCACTCACACCATGCCGCGAATCGGCGAGGGGGAAATCGCCCCGGTTGGACCCACTTCCTTCCAGTTCCTCGTGCCCGAAGACTCTCCCATCATCATCATCCCATGCGTGGGGACTGTCCAGCCTGGGAAGGTAAACTCCAAACATGTTTAAATAAGATATCACCAACCCCAGCATCCCAACCAGCTTGTCAGCTTTTTGCTTTGGGCTGTAATTCCTGCTGATGGAAACTAAACACCATGTAATAATAATAATATTAGTAATAATAATAATAATAATAATAATAGTCATAGAAAATGATAAAATTAAACTGCTCTGGGACTTCAGAATTCAAACAGACAAGCACCTGCAACATAACACTCCAGACTTAACAATTGTCGATAAGAAAGACAAAAAAGTCTGGATAGTGGACGTGGCAGTGCCTGGAGACAGCAGAATAGACGAATAAGAACTGGAGAAGATCACAAAATGCAAAGACCCACAAATAGAAATAGAAAGACTGTGGCAAAAGCAAGCAAGGGTAGTACCAATAGTAATAGGCTCCTTGGGTGCAATCCCAAAACAACTGGAGCACCACTTGAACACCATCATCGGCATTGACAAATTCGCTATTAGTCAATTGCAAAAGGCGGCCTTACTAGGAACTGCTTCCATCCTGCGACGATACCTATAATACCATCAAACATCCACATCTGCCTATCCCAGGTCCTGGGTAAGGACTTGATAGGTAGACAAAATGCCAAATCCAGTCTGAACATCTGGCTGACTGTGCGATGATCCATAATAATAATAATAAAGCTAGACTAGATGACCTTGGAGGTCACCTAGTCCAATCCCCTCCTCAGGCAGGAAACCCTATACCATTTCAGACAAATGGCTGTCCAGTCTCTCATCAAGTCAGCCTAAAAATGAGCAGACAGATGTATTTCTTCCCTCTTCGTTGGGGCTTTTACAAACCTCGTTGGAAGCTAAGAGAAGAATTACATGTTTTTGTGGGCTGGAGCCGTTTCATTTCCTTCCAAGGTTTTGTTCCTTGGTCATTTCTGCTTTTTATGAGCTGTTTCCCCCTCCTTATTTCTTTCCCTTCTGTCCCCTTCCGATGTCCAGAAATGCCTGCTTGATGTCTCCTTCCACCCAGCACTGCCCGACCAATTGATCAGGGAAGAGGCAGTCAACATATCGTGTCAGAATGCCGAAATCAAAGCTCAGATGGAGAAAAGAGCCCGAGAATTGGAAATACAGGTAAACAGAAGAGTGGTCACTTCCTGTTACTTCCCTTCTGGCCAAGGAAGTGGCCACAACTTGGAGAAGCAGGTGGCAAAGGTGCAAACACACACACACACACACACACACACACACACACACACACACACACACGGATCTAAATCCAGGCGAGCTGGATTTGAAGAGTGAGGAAGGGGATCTTGTGCAAAGATTAGAGGCCAGCAATTCATCACAGTAGTGTACTACTTATTTCATTTAAACCCCCTCCCCCCAGTAAAAGCAATAAAGTCCAGTAGTACAATTAAGAGAGTCACTGAATGGCCACAATGGAAAGGAAGGAGAAGAGAGGAGAAGAGAGGCGAGAAAAACAAGGAAAAAGAAAGGAAGGAGGAAGGAGAGAACAGAAGGGAAGGGAAAGAAAGAAAGGGGGAGGAAGGGAAGGGAAGGAAGGAGAGAGGGAAGGGGAGAGGGAGGGAAGGGGAGGGAGGAAGGGAAGGAAAGGAGGGAGAGAGGGAAGGGAAAGGAAGGCGAGGGAGGAGAGAGGGAGGGGAGGGAAGGAAGGAAGGAAATGGAGTTGGAGGAGATGGAAACTTTTCTAAATATTCACTGAAAAAAATCTGGTGGTCCCAGTTGCTCAGTTTCCTCTCCAGAAGCAGGACGAGGAACCAGGGGAAGCTCTAGAGCAGTGGTTCTCAACCTTTTTAATGCCGCGACCCCCAACCGGTCGTAAGTCGAGGACTACTCAACCAGTCGTAATTCGAGGACTACTCAACGGGTGCAGCACCGTTTGCAGAAGGGGACTTTTGGCGGGCTCAGCAGGGCAGAGACAGCCTGGACAATTCCTATTGGCTTTTGAAAGCCAATAGAATTAGATTCTATTCAAGAGAGTCTCTTCTATTGGCTTTCAAAAGCCAATAGAATAAAAGGGAGGAGCACAGCCAAGGAAAAGGGGGGGGGGAATGGCGGACTGCGTTGTTTGGCGACCCCCGTGAAATGGTCGTTCGACCCCAAATGGGGTCCCGACCCACAGGTGGAGAACCGCTGATCTAGAGCTCTGCGTGGGTGGCTGCCATTGGGAGCGAAGGCCTTGACCTTCCCGTCTGCTCTTCTCTCGGTGGCAGAGGAAGAAGGAGGAGGCGGCCATGTTGGGATGGAAAGATGGGAAGAGGACAACCAGCATCTCCTTCCTGGCTGAGCCCTCCAAGGACAAGAGCCCCGTCAAGCCCTTCGAAGCCCCCAACCCGGAAGACATCTCCACAGAGTGAGGATGCAAAATCGGGGTCTGCTTCCTGGCCAACACTCAGGACCTCTTGGACCGGCCTCAGGGCTACAATTTGGACCCACTTTAGACAGGCAAACCTAAGATGGTCTCCTCCCAGGTGACCTCCTCCTCCCCTTATCTGGCCACAGGATGAACCGGATCCCTTCAGATCGCCCTTTTAAATCTGTTCCTTCCTTCCTTCCTTCCTTCCTTCCTTCCTTCCTTCCTTCCTTCCTTCCTTGCTTCCTTCCTTCAGGTTCACGATAAGGAAATTATTTCCAAAAATCCTCTTAAAGGACAAAAAGGATTTGATGCCCAAGAGGTGAAGCCTAACCGTCTCTTGCCTCTGGCCCTCTCCCCCATACCCTACCCTACCGTTGATATTTAGAGATAGGCTGCCCCTGGACACGGAAGCTCCACAACCCCTGTAGCAGAGAACATCTAAGGGACATTCACTCTGCTAAGGATTTGCCTTGCCCCCCTCCCCAAGGAGTTGGCTGTGCTACGTGGGTCTCCTTGGGGGCTGAACAACTGTTGCTTGCTTCCTCCCCCCTCCAGCTCCGAAGAGTACATTGCGGCCCATTTGAACCTAGCCCGCAGCTACTCCAGCCGTTTTGATAAGTACATCATACCCTGCCTCGTGGCGAGCGGAGACATCGACGAGAAGAGAGGGGCCGAAAACATGAACTTCAGGTACGCCCTGCGCATAATCCAGAGACCCACCGCAGGCCGAGGGATGCTCCACCACTGCACTAGCGCGGGAGGTGCTGACTTTGAAAGTCTGCTGCGTTGGCTACATCCCTGGCTGATGAAACTCGCATACCGCCTGCCTCTTGCTTGCAATGGACACACCCTTTCACTTGCATCCCCATGTAATTAAGGGAGCTGCCTTGCTTTGCTCTGATTTAAGCGGGGTTTCAGTGACAGGCCCAGATTTACTGGGGTGAATTTTCTTTCTGCCTGGCTTCATTCCTCAACGAGATCGTGCAGCTTTCTGGTTAGCTAATATATATGTATGTATGTATGTATGTATGTATGTATGTATGTATGTCTTTGGTTATTCGGGTTTTCTCCCGCGTAAAATTGGAAGTGTCTTGGCGACGTTTCGACGAAGTCCCATTCATCATCTTCAGGCTGGTGTTTTCAGCTTCGTGCTCCTCGAAGCACGCAGCTGAAAACACCAGCCTGAAGATGACGAAACGTCGCCAAGACACTTCCAATTTTACACGGGAGAAAACCCGAATAACCAAAGACCTACATACAAACACCCGCGAAAACCTCAGAAAACATATATATATATATATATATATCTGTATATTATCTATATCTCACATGTTTGCCCATCTTAGGTGGTGTACAATAAAGGATTTTTACACCAAAAAGTGTAAAAATTAAAATTTTTAAAGGGCACACGGATAATTGAATGCCGTTAAAATTAATTCAAAGGCAAAGGGTGGGCTCTTCGGGCACCGAGCAACCCCATGGCTGAGTGCTCCTCTGCACCAGCCCCCCATATGGGGCCGCAGGAGCCTGATTTTAATTTTCTCTGAGTTCAGAATCTTCTCTCAAGACCAGAATTGGCCTTTTGATCAGCTATTTTTGCTGAATTAATAAACCTTCCGACAATCTTGCGGTGTTTGTAAGCCATTATCCTTCCTGTTGAAAAAACAGGAGCCTTTTTTTGAACTGAAATGCATTTTCTCTCCACAGTCCTTACAATACTTTGTACTTGGAGCTGCATTGTCCGTCTGTCGCCCCTGTCGTGGTGGTAACTTCGAACAACGGGAGAACTTTTTTCAACTTTGGGGACATTGCAGTCGGTACGAAATCCTCTTTTTGAATCCTCTTTTTTTTCCCCCTCTCCTTGGCAGAATTTAATTCATAAACCTTGATGCTTCGTGGTGGAGAGCCACAAGTCTTGTCAATGGCCTTATAAGCTCATTTTGGAATATTGGAGCAACACAAGAGTTTGTATAGGGCAGCCCAAAGGTGTAGTATCCACAGAGAGAAACACAAATACACACACACATACATACACACTTATTAATTTCTAGAAATACCAATAGCAAAAGCTTTGAATTGTAGATCAACCACAGGTGGTTAGGCTGCAGGTTTCCCAAAGTTGGTTTGGTGGTTTGGTTGGTTTGTAAAAAAATCTTTCTTTAGATTTTATATTTTTTTCTAGACCAATGTAAAAATGGCTCCTTGACCTTGTCCTTTTTTTAAAATTGTCCTCTGTTGGCTTTATTACCTCGGCTGTCTCTTCACACAGGGCATAGAATCAAGAAAGAAGTGGAGATCCAGAATATATCCAAGGAACACTTGGTGGTATCCTTTTAACTGAACTATAGTCTCTGATGCTCCACCATCTTTCCCACTAGACGGCTTTTCTTTTTTTTTTTTTTAAAAAAAGAATAATTTGTTTAGTTGTTGTTTTTTTACCAGAAAGATTTAGAAAAAGTAACTTGGAGAAAAAAAAGGCTTACAGTTCAAAAGCCACATCACACAAGGAAAGAGGATGGGGAGGGAGGAGGAAAAAAAAAAGGGAAAGATGCAAACTCACCTTTCCGTCCCTAAAAAAACCCCGTTCGCATCCACTTGGAGAAAAAGCATTCAGAGGCTTGTCTGCGTACGTGGTCCGAGGTTAGGAATTAGCTGTTTCTCTTTGTGCTGTGGGTTCTTTGAACTACATTTTTCAGCTGGGATATTCCCTACTTGATCCCTTCGGACCCTTTCTGCTGGCCAATCCGATTTGTTCACTTGGAGAAGGGGAATCCCGGGAGCTAGTCCTTTCCTTCTGTCCGGAGGAGAGTAAATCGGTGAGTTTCTTCGTTCCCAGGTCACACTTTTAATGTTTTATAGCAGTGTTTCTCAAGCTTCTCCACTTTTAAGAGGGGTGGGGAATTCTGGGAGTTGAAGTCCACCCCTCTTAAAGTGGAGAAATTTGACAAACATTGATCTATACCAGTGGTTCTCAACCCTTTTAATGCCGCGACCCCCAACCGGTCTTAAGTCGAGGACTACTCAACTGGTCGTAAGTCGAGGACTACTCAACTGGTGCAGCACCGTTTGCAGAAGGGGACTTTTGGCGGGCTCAGCAGGGCAGAGACAGCCTGGACAATTCCTATGGGCTTTTGAAAGCCAATAGAATTAGACTCTATTCAAGAGAGTCTATTCTATTGGCTTTCAAAAGCCAATAGAATAAAAGGGAGGAGCACAGCTAAGGAAAAGGGGGGGAGAAATGGCGGACTGCGTTGTTTGGCGACCCCCGTGAAATGGTCGTTCGACCCCAAATGGGGTCCCAACCCACAGGTTGAGAACCACTGGTCTATACAGTGTTTCATTGGCCCTCTCATCCGTTCCCTGCGCTTCCCCTGAAACTTCTCTTCCCAGTATTTTGAAATCCTGGAGATACGAACTGACAAAGCCACCCTGACGCTCACACTGACCGGCCGAGGAGTCATCACGTCCATTGCGTGTTCGCTGGAAGAAGATGTGTTGAATATGGGCTATGTAGTCTCCAAGGAAACCACCACCTCTGTCTTCAAGGTACCGCCTTAAGAGATTCCAAGGAAGTCAGAATGTGGTCCTGCAGGCCAAATGGGGGGGGGGAAGTTACCGTGATTGTTTACAAGCAGCAGGGAAATGGCACCATGTGGTAAGCCAACTTTTAATGAGCGGCTAAGAAACTGAACAGAAACATTCCATTTTTCTCATCAGATTAGCTAGTGTCTCTAAATGCAGGTCGCCCTTGATTTACAGCAAAAACTTTGGGCTCAGTTGTGGCCGTAAGACGAGGATTACCTGTAAAATCAGTCATCCTTGGGGGTTCACCTTGTTGTTTTTTAAGCCATGAATATACCCTTATTAAGATGCTGAGCCACAAACGTTGACTGAACAACGCCAAAGTTTACACAATTAAGGCGAAGTGTCAGAAGGGAAAACCCAGTCATCCTTCTTTTATCTACTAAGTCCAGTCTGTTCGGAAGGACAACCGTGATCCATTTTGCAGAATTCTTGTGGGGGCAGCTGGCAAATATGTATGACATCTGAAGCTACCCAGCGCTTTCAAAACACCATTTTCAATGTTGTGATTCTGGGGCGCCTGCCTAACTGCTATTTTTGTGGAGACACCTGTGTTATTTTCTTAGCAACACTATGAAGAAATTTGTCATTGCTGTTATCCAGGATATGTTTTTATTAGCTTTTCAAATCTGCCCTTGGGATTTTCAGGTAGTTTCCCTTCCCAGTACATCATCATCATCATCATTATTCAGATTTCTTCTAGCCACCCCCCCCCCTTTAAACTTATTTAAGCTTCTGGACATAAGCCGAGATCAGCCTGCTGTTGCCATCAATTGTGATCTAACAATTTCTGATCAAATAAGTTAGTTAATCCTGGGGGGATTTCAAGCAAATCCTATTAAAAGTTTGCAGGGTCATCTGTAAAATCAAAATTGGAAAAAAAAATGACAAGATACAAGCAACCTCAAGATCAGTCTAGACTACAAAGCAAAATAATTTCCCTTGGCAGATTTTCATAAAAGTAACAAAAATACTTTTGAAACTACACTGTCTGGTTCATCAAACAATCTACATCTTTTATGAGTGATAAACTTTTGAAGCTTTTTTATGGTGGAGAGTTTCCCTGGATTAGAGATGGCCCATTTTTGGAACAAAGATTCTCTGAAATATTTCACATCCGAACCAGGGGTGTCCATGCTGGCTGGGGAATTCTGGGAGTTGACGTTCACAAGTCTTAAAATTGCCACGGTTGGAGACCCCTGATCCAAACCAGATTACTGTTCTCATCCATGACAGCTAGCAAAAATGTCTGGATCCTGGGTTAAGTTACTTTCTCATCCCTATTTTCTTTCTGAACCCCCCCCCCAAAAGAAATTCCACGTTTTTACCAATGGCCAACAGCATCTGCACTCTTTACCTAGAAAAAAAAATAGCTTAAAATTTGGGGTAATATTATGGATTCTTTTACAGATCGAGAACATCTCTCCTTTGGCCTTGAAATATTCGATCGTCTTGGATTCTCTTTCTCCGGATAGATATCGAGAGCTGCAGACTTTCCCCCCATTCCTTAATATTCCAAGAGAAACGCATGTCGTTGGTAAGAGACTGGCCCCATTTTGAGGGCTATTTTGTGCTAGATGTGGGTTATGTCGTGGCATGGTTACGGTTCATATTTCAACAAATTCTCCAGAGGGATACATGTTCCAGTTACATGGAGTATCATGGTAGATTATTTTTATTACAGCTCTTTTGGGGTGGCAGGAGAAATTTAATGGAAAAAAAGATGGCAATAATATTTGTCTGCCTGCCTGCCTGCCTGCCTGCCTGCCTGCCTGCCTGCCTGCCTGCCTGCCTGCCTGCCTGCCTGCCTGCCTGCCTGCCTGCCTGCCTATCTATCTATCTATCTATCTATCTATCTATCTATCTATCTATCTATCTATCTATCTATCTATCTATCTATCTATCTATCTATCTATCTATACATCCATACATCCATTTGAAATAACAATCAGTGCAAATAAATAATGACTAGGATATTTAAGAGGGATAGGTTTAGTTTCCTGACTGTTTGAGTCCTAAGTGTTTTTCTTTGGGCTCAACGGGTTAATATCCTGGTTTTTCTATTCTTGTATTTTCAGCACTGCTGTGGGAAGGACACCGTCTCTTTCCCCGCTGACTTTTTTTTTTAATCAATCCCTTTCCCAGGTACACAAAATTACAGCGGCCTCAGCGTCTTCAGTATCTTCCCAATGCAGGGCTTCATCGGGGTTGGAAAGTCTCAAGAGTTCACCGTCACCTTCAGCCCGGACCACGAAAGCTTGTATTATTCCGACCGCATCCAAATTTTGCTTTTTGACAAGGTGAGCTCAGCTGAGGTCAGCTGGCACTTATCCCTGAATTTCCCCCTCCCCTGGGGAGTGGGCTTAATCAGAGCAGTGTTCCTGCGTTCAGAAAGGTGATGAAGATGGTGTGACGTAAAAAGGAAGCTGATGACGTGGGCAGAGGAAAACGTTCTCCTTAGAATCCACAGACTTTCCAATTTCAGAGCGATGAGATTGACTTTTTCCTAGCATGCTGTTTTCTAGTTAGGTTGGATGAAAATGCTCAGACTCTCTCCTTAGATGACCTCCAAGTGACCCAGGGGCTGAGGAATGAAATAGATAGGTGTGTTTTCAGGGATTTCTGACCCTCTACAACTGTTCTCAACCTTGGGAACTTTAAAATGGATGAACTTCATCTTTCGGAATTCCCGGCTGAAGAATTCTGGGAGTTGGAAGTCCACGCATCTTACAGTTGCCCAAGACTGAAAATTTTTATTTGAGAAGGAGTAGGATCTAAGCCTTCTTTTCCTTCAAAGATTCTTCCAGCTTGGAAAGCTGATTGGGATACTGTGGGAAGGTGATGGAGAGAGGCATTTTTAGAAACCTCAAGCTGTTTGCAGGAGATTATCCGGGTGATCCAGCTGAAGGGGGCAGCGAGGAACCACATCATGTACGTGGAAGGTGGCGAGCCGTTGGACGTGCCCTTTGAATCGCTGGCTGTGCTAACCTCCATCAGCGAAGAGGCCTCCAAAGCAGGTGATGCAGCCTAAAGAAGACTAAACTCAGTTCATGTTTGGCTTGGAAACTGCAGGGGGGAAAGTTCTGGGTCCGGCAGGCAGTGGATGGGAAGGAATACGGAGGATATCCAAAGAGATCTTTTCCGAGCTATCCTTTTTTTTAAATCTGACCTGTTCCTCCTCCTCCTCCTCCTCCTCCTCCTCCTCCTCCTCCTCCTCCTCCTCCTTATCCCTTCTTTCTATTTCTTTTCTCCTCCTTTCTTCTTCTTCTCCCTTCTTCCTCTTCTCTTCCTCCCCCTCCTCTTCTTTCTTATCCCTTCTTCTTTCTACTTCTTCTTTTCTCCTCCTCCTCCTTCTTTCTTCTCCCTTCTCCTTCTTTCTTCCTCTCCTCCTCCTCCTCCTCCTCCTCCTCCTCTTCCTTCTTCTTATCCCCTCTTCTTTCTACTTATTTTCTCCTCCTTCTCCTCTCCCTTCTTATTCTTTCTTCTTTTTTTCTCTTTTCTTCTCCTCCTCCTCCTCCTCCTGTTTTGGGACACATCCACCGAACACACAACAAAACACATCCACACAAGCCTGAGGGCCTTCCTTGAGATGTCAGCAAGGCCACACAATTGACCTGCCTATCACTGAGGGACAAAATTGCCTCTCTGCAGAAGCTGAGAAAGCTACCAACTCCATCCTGGTCAGCCTGGTGTGTGTCCAGTCGGAGACTATGGTTATCCCAGCAGTGCGGGAGTTGAAAGTCGGAGCCATTCGGACCGCTCAGTTTGCATCAAAGAAGGTGCAGCAGTCTTGGGGGGGGGGCGGGGGCAAGCGTTGATCAAAGCTAATTGTGGGGTTCAGGAGGGGACGTGATCAAAAATAGAAGAGGATGGGGGACAAAATTCTTTGCTGTCTTCCGCCTTAAAGGTTGGGATGCAATCTAGGCGGTCCTCAACATACAACCGTCTGTTTAATGAGCCTTTGAACTTACAGCAGGGTTTTAAAAAAAGAGGGGGGGGGACTTAGGATCAGTCCTCCTACTTACAACTGTTGCAACATCCCCACAGTCAGGTGATCAAAATTCAGCCTCTTGGAGGCTGAATTTACAATAGTTGCAGCATCCTGGGATTACGACATCCTGGGGGGGGGGGAATCTTAATTTTCCCATTTCAGATTAAGGATCTTTTATTTTCCCGTTTCAGATTTGAGGATCCTTTTTTATGTTTGGCGTTACATCTAGTCCTTGACTTGTAACTGTTCAGTGACCCAAATGATAAAGGCAAAAGTGACTGGTGACCCTATTTCAGGGATTGCTTGATTGAGGTTTTCACCTTTTCTTTTCGCAGAATGTGGAATTCACCTGGGAAAGTCTGCAGCTTTTGCAGCTGAAAGGATTCAGCGTGGATCCCGTCAAAGGCATGGTGGAACGTGGCCAGACCAAATCCATCATTGTTTCTTGGGTTCCCCCTGCTGGCTCAGATGTAGGTTGACACACTTCAAAGTCGGTTTGAGTGAGGTTAATTGCTGGCATTCTCGTTCCCTTTGATCAGAATAGAGTTGGAAATGATCTTGGAGGTCTTCTAATCTAGTCCACCCCTTGCTGAAGCAGGACCATTTCAGACAAGTGGATGTCCAGTCTCTTCTTAAAAACCTCCAGTAATGGAGCACCCACAACTTCTGGTGGCAAGCTGTTCCACTGGCTAATGGTCCTCCCTGTTAGGAAGTTTCTCCTTAATTTCAGGTTGCGTCTCTCCTTGATTAATTTCCACCCGTTGCTTCTTGTCCTGCCTTCAGGCGCTTTGGCAAACACGTCGACCTCTTCCTCTTTGTGGCAGCCCCTGAGATATTGGAATACTGCTTTACATACTTTAAAGTCTTGGCATCCCATTCTCAACCTTGGCAAGCTTCAGACGGCTGGGTGGATTTCAGTTCCCACATTGGGGGATTCTGGGAGTTGACGTCCACCTATCTTAAACTTGTCACGGTTGACAGCGCGCTGTTTTAAAGAGTCCGGGGGATTTAACCTTCAGAAGCCCCCCCCCCAATTCAGGCCCTCCTTTGTGTTGTCCCACAGCCCAATCAACCTATAACTGGATCGGCCACACTGATCGTGAAAGGTGACGTCAAGGAAGTTTACGGCGTCTATTTCATGGGCCGGATCGTGACCAAAGAAACTCCAAGTTGAAAATCTTGCCGAGAGGAAGGTCCACCAGTGCATCTGAGGCCATTATGAAAAAAGCCATCTGGAACATGGGAGGTTTTAACCCCAAACAGAATTCCGGTTTTATACCTCTCTAGAACGCTTTGAGGCCAAACGGTATCTGTTGCTCCCTTTTCTTCCCCCCGAACATGCAGAGAAGGCTTCCAGCCGGACTGGAGAAATTGTTTTTCCGTTCATTCATTTCTGTTTCTTGATCTTGTCGGTAAATAAAATTGGCCCCCTTAGCCTGCTTGAATTTGTTATCTTTGGGGTTGAGAATGGGCTGAAAGGAGGAGAAACGGCTTAGACGATCTTGCTTTTGTGTCTGTGTGTGTATAATATGGGCGATCTGAATTACAGATCATACCGTCCTGAATCCTAGTTGGTTTCATAAAGGAATATTTCTCAACTTTTTCAGCTTTAAGGCGGATGGACTTCAAATCCCAGAATTCCCCAGCCACCGTTCTGAGAGTTGTAGTCCGGCCATCTTAAACTTGACAAAGCTGAGAAACACATTGCCGTAGATCATGGGTTTGGAAACCACGTTGGCTGCTTTTCGTCAGGATGCAGAATCGTGTGGGAACCAACCGCGTACTCCAGCAGAAACAGCCTTGTGCATTGCTTTGTGACAAGAGTTCCTTTCTTCCAATTGTTCCAGGCCTTTTGCAGACAGATGTCCATCATACCAAAAGCAACTAACGATTGTTTAACTTTGCTGGCTGGTCTGCTCGGACATTTCATCCCTGAGACTGGACCAATGAGATTAGCTCCAGGGAATAATTGCAGACTTTGGATGAGGCTATAAAAGATCCAAATTATATAGCTGGAACAGCCTCTACCGTCAGTGACATGGGTTCCGCATACAAATAGCTCCGGCAGGCTGTTATGACAATTAATAAGCAAAATGTGCTTTTTTTAAAAAAAAATGCAAAGATTTGCAGACATTCTTAGTCATAACCAGCCCACTTGAGCCCAGCCAACTCCTTTGCTCATATAGGTAGATGTCCTTTAGATATTTTCAGATTTGAATAAATTCTTAGGTGACCATGACTGGGCTAAAAAGGTTGTACGTGTTACATAAAACCCGATAAATTGTTGCTAGGTCACATTAAGCAAACAAAAGTTGTGTCGAAATCCATCCGGCAGTCTCAAAGGTTCTCCTCCCCTCTTAAAGAGGTTTCTGTTTTTCTTTCCTCTTCTTGAGATGCTCGAGAACCTTTTTTTTTCTTTCATCTTTCTCTTGTAGTGTCTTTCAGCTTCCTCCCTCCCTGTAGGGTGATTGAGGATGACACTCTGAAAAAGCTGTCACAACGATTTGAGACCTTCCTTTGATTTTTTGAGCAGGGCAGTACGGAGGCCACATGGCAGTTTTGTGCTATCGTCTTCTACAGATCTCCAAGCACAGAAGACTCCTAATCTTTTTTTTTTCAGGTATGATTCTCCAGGTTGGGAGGGGCAATCCATGGCAACAGAAATTTGGGGCCCAATTGCCGCAGTTAAGTTGAGGGCTGCCTATAACAGGGTCCTTCTGACCGCTGGCTCGTGCGTGCTTGCAACCTGGTGCTTTAGCTGCCTTCCCCATCTGCCCTACACAGTCACAGGGGCATCCGTGCGGGGGATCCGGTAGATGACACGTGCCCCTGATCTTGTAAGATTGCTTAAATTCCGTTTCCATTGAAGAGCTCAGTGATAAAGATCATGTCCCTCCACCATCACAGAGAGCCTCACGGACAGTTCTGGGAAAAAAAAAAAAAACCCCAGAGCAGTAGAAAGTCAAAAATATTTGAAACATCTCGGAAAAGGCAGGCCTCTCACCTTTTCTCCCCTAAGGGGTCCATTTGATCGTCTAATGCAGGGATAGTCAACCTTGGCTCTTTTATGACTCGTGGACTTCAACTCCCAGAATTCCTGAGCCAGCTTAGCTGGCTCAGGAATTCTGGGAGTTGAAGTCCACGAGTCATAAAAGAGCCAAGGTTGACTACCCCTAGCTGGCTCAGGAATTCTGGGAGTTGAAGTCCACGAGTCATAAAAGAGCCAAGGTTGACTACTCCTAGCTGGCTCAGGAATTCTGGGAGTTGAAGTCCACGAGTCATAAAAGAGCCAAGGTTGACTACCCCTGGTCTAATGTGTTTCAAGCTGAATAACGCTGCGTTTCTTTTCTTTCTTCTTCCGACACTGGGCCTGCCTTCATCTACATCAGGTGCACATTCCGGGCTATTTTGCAGAAGAAGGAAACTGCAAAGGGGGTCAAGCTACTCTCCACCCGAAGGTGGAGCGAGAAGCAATGGATAGAAACTAACCAAGGAGAGAAGCGACCTAGAACGAAGGAGAAACTTCCTGACAGCGAGGACAATTAATCAGTGGAACAACCTGCCTCCAGAAGTTGTGAGTGCTCCATCACTGGAGGTTTTTAAGAAGAGACTGGTCAGCCATTTGTCCGAAATGGTATTGAGTCTCCTGCTTGAGCAAGGGGGTTGGACTAGATGACCTCCAAGGTCTCTTCCAACTTGGTTATTTTGGAATCTTATTAGATTTATTGTCAAGCCCCTCTGATCAAGAGGTGGCAGAACGTGGGAGTAAAATAAACTGCCTTAATCAGAGTTAAAATTAAAGAATAGCATGAAGTTAACACAGCTGCCTCTTCTCTCGTTCTCATTGTCCTCATCTCGTGATATTCACACGTCCAATTTCTCAACACCTAGGAGCGAATGAAACGGGAGAGGAATAATCCATTTCAGTCATCTGCCAAAGATATCTGGACATGCTTTGCCCTCGGTTGCTCAGGAGGATTGTAATTGCCCATTGAAAACAAAAAACGGTGAGATAAACAGCTCTGACTGGTTGCCAGTTTCTTGTGTTTCAAGAGACTTCCTGTGTAGGTATCAGCTTGGCTTAAAATGTCTCATGCTCTGCTGCTTTCTGTAGTCTTTGCTTTTGCCTTTAGTTTTTCCAAAAATGATGGTTTATTTGGTTAAAGTAACTTCTTCTTTCCTTTTTTTTTTTCTTTTGACAAAAATGCTACCTTGTGGGGATTTTTAAAACTGGAAAAAAAACCTGCTCCAGAGAATGAATAGCACAAACAGCCGGCCATCAAAACTATGAAGAATACATTTCCTGCAATTTCTTATGAAAGTGGTAAGTGTTTTTCTGTGGGGTCCTTGGTGCTCTCTGAGCTTACTGGTTTCCTTGCAGATGTTTCATTACCAAACTGGGTAATGCCATCAATGCTTCTCAGCAGTGATTAGATTCAGTTATCTGAAGGCATCCTCTCTGTTACATACTTCAGTTGGGAAATATCTCTCCTGTTCCAAATGATTAATGGCTTAATTCACTAAGCCAACATTATTAACCCTTCACAGTATTTTTTTTTTCAACATAGAGGCTGTGATCTGTGACCGAGAAGAAGACACATACCTTCCTTCCTTACTCACCTGCTTGCATGCAATTTGGCACCAGCAATTTCATTTGACATTTCCCAGAAATGCATGTTTCACGAGGACTAGAAACATTTTCATATTATTCTAAGTGAAGGTGGAAGGAATGCTGGAAGAAATTTAAGCGTTTCCCTTTCCCCTTAGAAAAATCTGATAAAATACACATTTAAAGAACAGAAACAGAGGTGTCAACAGGGTTGAGACAAAACTGGTGGGAACCTGGAGCAGGCTGATAATAGGAGCTAGTACGAATTTCTATTAGCTAAGAAATTCAGGTCATCACCAGTTTCGTAAGACGAGGCCTAGTCAACACCTTGTACCCATAGGGATAGATGTGAATCAGCTCTCTTTAATGACATAATATAAATAATGTTTACCTATAGCGCTTGGCTGCTTTTCAGCCTATTGTAGTTTCTGTTGATCAAACATCTTGCTCATTAAAATATATATGTACATATCACCAGGATTTTTATTTCAGCATTTCCTTTGGCATTGCAGACGTTCAACGTTTTGGAAACACAAATAAATGATTCATGCTAAATCCACTGTTTGGTCAAAAGACCCCCTTTTTTTTTTTTGCTCTCGTATGATCTTAAAGCAGATGCCACGTTTTGAAATAATTCCTATTGAATTCTGGGACTTTTTATGCCACCACTGAGCCTTGGATAAGAGCACCCGGCTTCTGAGCATGCGCAGAGGACCCTTCTGGAATTGCTCAGTTAGGGATCTGAGGAATTCTGGGAGTTGAAGTCCACAAGTCATAAAAGGGCCCAGTTTGAAGACCTTTGCTCTCAGCGAATGCAAGCTGTGGTGGATGCCTTGGGAAATGCTGAAGCACAGGGAACAATTATCCTCAGAAAAAATTTGGCCACCCCTCCAACACAAACCCTACATTTTGTTACTCGCAAAGTTGTTAGTGCTGGCCAATTATGTGTTAACACCCCAATGAAATATTTTGCAGTCCTACAAGTAGCTAGCTGAGAATAAAATCCATTGAAATCAAATAAGACCGCATTAAAAAAAAAACCCCACCATCTGGAACCCTGGCGAGAGAAAAGAAGAGTCCACACCTTCCCAATCGTGTTTATTTTAGATATAACATGCTCTTGGCTTTTGCGCGGCTCCTGGTAACAGCTCATTAATATTCTCTCTGGTGTGCACTTTTTCATAAGCCATTAACTTTCGCATCAGTCTCTAAAAATCCCCTCGCCTATCTCATGATCTCGCAGAAATCTCTCCGGAAGAAGCTTGCTGCCCAATGAACCAAGATTAGAAGCTCGATCTATTTGATTCACCCTGTACTAAGCCAGCAGACCTGCCATTTAGGAGCTCAAAGCAACAGCCAGACGAAACGCCACCAGCACAGCTTGGGATAGAATCAGGGCACTTAGAACAGAAACGAAACAGAAATTTGAAGAGCTTGTCATTTTATCTCTTTATTCATTTGTATCCCGCCTTTATTATTTTTTTTACCAATAATTCAAGGTGGTGAACTTGTCCAAGACACCTCCCTCCTATTTTCCCCACAATCACAACCCTGTGAGGCGGGCTGGGATGGGAGGAAGGGAGGGGGATTTATCCAAAGTCACTCAGCCAGCTTTCATGGCTAAGGTGAGGACTTGAACTCATGATCTCCCACTTTCTAACCTGGTTTCTTCACGGCTAGACCAAACTGGCTCTCTGTGCAGAAACTGGACTTGTGCAGGACTTAAACTTAAGCTTTGCACGACTTGACTTGCATTTTTTTTCAACTCTGCAGAATTTGGGTTTCAGATGGGACCACGCTTAGCTGCCCCCCTGCCCCCCCCAAAAAAGTCAGGCACAAGTATAGATACCTACATTAAAAAAAATAGGAGGAAAGAGTATTATGTATGTCTGCTTCTTTGAGTTACTTGCAGAGTAATAAAGGCTGGATAAAAAAAAATAAATAAATTAAGGCAAGGGATGACGTCAGCACACCCCTTTTACCTCGTTTAATAGAGGCTTCTTACATACCTTACATTTCTTTTTCTCTGTTAAAATCCTGAAGGTGGAGATAACGCAAACAGGAATGCCAATCATCTCTCTTTAGATCTACAATGTGATTTATGATCATCTGCATTTTTTTGCAACAACTCCCCGTTGGAGAGGCCGAGAAGCTGCTTAACCTCGCCAGGAGCGTGACTGGGTAGGTTGACGTTTTAATGGAATTCCCTTTGAAAGATCCTTGCAGATTTGAACTTATGCAAATCCCAGTTCCTGCTCAGTCACAAAGGGATGTCGTTCTGCCCCAGATCTGGCACGTGCCTGCCTGGGCCTCAGTTTCCCCACTTCCTCCCTTTTGAAAGACTCCTGAGCCGCCAAACAGGTTCAGGGGAATATTGAAACCTGGGAAAACAGTTTATTACCAGGTGTTTTTCCATTGCGTTTTAGTGTGCGCCCGCCTTCCTCTCCGCCCCACCCCACAACCAGATCTGCATCGCTCTTGAAAAGTACAACCAGATATAAAATACACAGTCTAAAATAACAAGCACCTACTTTATGAAACACACAAGCACTGGGGTTGTTTTGTTTTCCCCCCCCCTGAAACAGAGAGCCCAAAACAAAAGGTGTAAGTAGTTTTAGGGAAAACGAAAGAGCAGTTTTCAAAGGGCATTTGGGCAGTTCCAACATAGGCTTTAAAAAAAAATGTGCTGGGCCGTTGGAGACACTCTGCCGGTGACAAGATCTAGCCAACCGTGGTTGAGCTCCAAAAGCTAATCCAGGTTGAACTTGATACTGTAGTCCAGAGGCGGAAAGCCACTGAAATCTGAGGGCGGTAGGATCCTAAACATAGCACAGGTTTCAGGAATGGGAAATAAGGCAGCTGTGGTCTGCCTCGTGCTTTCCAAATATATTAGTCATCACCTACATTTCCAAGCATTGGAGTTTCACCACATCTAGTGATAACTGTTGTAGGCTGACCCCCCCCCCAATATTAGAGGCCAGCAACTTTGGCACAATCATTCTCTCTCACTTTTACTCTCTGCCATCTCAAGGGGGGGGGGTTGCTGGGATTTCATATCCACATAGCTGGGCTGAGATAGCTGGGAGGCAGGTGAGCTAATAAACCAAAGATAACCGCATGAGGCTGGTTTCTCCCCACCTGTTAGAAAAATGGACAAAGTTATTCTTATCCTTATCAGAAAATAACTTTTGCTCTGGATGCTTTGTTGCCTGGCCCAACGGCGGTCTCAGCAAAAATACAAAAAAGGAAAGGAAAGGAAAGGAAAAGTAATGGAGAAGAGGGGAAGAGAAAGGAAGGAAGGAAAGAAGGAAGGAAGGAGTAATGGAGAAAAGGAAAAAATAATGGAAGGAAAGGAAGAAGCGAAAGAGGAAAAGGCAATAGGGGAAAAAAACTAGAAAAGTGTGCCTTCCCGATAGGTGTGTGTGTGTGTGTGTGTGTGTGTCAGTGTCATCCGGCCATCCTTGAATCCCAAACCCATCATCCTGATCCCCCACCTTCTTCCCGATAGGTGTGTGTGTGTGTGTGTGTGTGTGTGTGTGTCAGTATCATTGGCCATCCTTGAATCCCAAACCCATCATCCTGATCCCCCACCTTCTTCCCAATAGATGTGTGTGTGTGTGTGTGTGTGTGTGTGTGTGTGTGTGTGTGTCAGTGTCATCCGGTCATCCTTGAATCCCAAACCCATCATCCTGATCCCTCACCTTCTTCCCGATAGATGTGTGTGTGTGTGTGTGTGTGTGTGTGTGTGTGTGTGTGTGTGTCAGTGTCATCCGGCCATCCTTGAATCCCAAACCCATGATCCTGATCCCCCACCTTCTTCCCCATAGGTCTCTGTGTGTGTGTGTGTGTGTGTGTGTGTCAGTGTCATCCTTGACTCCCAAACCCATCATCCTGATCCCCCACCTTCTTCCTGATAGATGGGTCCAGCCTCCGCCCCCTCCCCTCCCCTCCCTCCCCGTTGAAGACCGGGAGCGCCCACAGAGCTAGCCCCGTGCTGAACGGCGGGCGCCCGCTTGGAGTAGCCGGCCGCCTCCTTCGCGGAACAAAGGCGGCGGGGAGGGGGCGTGGCCGGGCGGGAGGGGGGCGTGGCCTGCGGCCGAGCAGTACCCTCGGCCGAGCGGGCGCCTCTTGCCGTCTTTCTGCCTGGAGCTGCTGCGCGCAGGGCGGTCGGCGGCGCTCCCGGCTCGTGGCGGAGACAAAGGCTGCCTCGGCGGCCCCGGAGGCGGGTGAGCCGGGCCGAGCCGGGCCGCTTCCTCCCCCGCCACCCCATGGCTCCAGCCCGCCGAGCCGGCCCGCTCTCTTCCCTCCTCGCGCTAGCCGCGATCGGGGCTCAGGTGAGCCTCCCTGCCTCCGCGAGGTCCATCACGGTGGGAGGATGCTGGCGGGGGCGGGGGATGTGCAAAGCCGGGTTCACACGACCCGCGAAACCCCCGTGGCCTGCCTTCGGGTTTGCGTCTCGTGTGAACCGGCGCCCCTTCTCTAGCGCGTCCAGAAACCGATTTAGAGTCCCCGAAATATTTGGGAAGGGAGAGCGGGCTTAAATCTGTCAGCCGGCCTGGTAAATTATTATCATCATCATCATCATCATCATCATCATCATCATCATCATCATTATTATTATTATTATTATTATTATTATTACTATTACTATTTTCCTTCTCCAGCCTATCGCTCCATTGATTCAGTCTGAACCGATATTCCAACTTTGGGAATCGTTCGCAGTTTTGCTGATCCTCTCCCGAGTTGTAGTTTGTAAATCGGGGGTGGTGGTTTGGCCTCGGATAAAAACTAAAAACAAAACAAAACCAAAAAGATTTTGCAGGTTTTACTAGGCGCAGTGTTTCTCAACCTTGACCATTTTAAGGCCGGTGGACTTCAACTCCCAGAATTCCACAGCCAGTATTGCTGGCTGTGGAATTCTGGGAGTTGAAGTCCACATGCCTTAAAATGGTCAAGGTTGAGAAACACTGTACTAGGGCTTGATGTAAATCTTTTAAAAAGTGCTGCTCTTTTAGCCCTGCTGTGGGTGTGTTTGCTTGGCAATCCTAAAGCATTCCCCCCCCTCCACCACCCTTGGTGTGTAAGTTAGTTTATAGTCCAAACTGAATAAATGCGTTCAATAGCCCTGTCTCTTTATTCTTGTTTTTGTAGAACAGTGAAGAATATGCCTTTCAGGTTGAGTGAATCACAGCAGATTTTTCTTTGTGATCAAGCCAACCTCTGGTTAGGGAAGAACTTCAAGGCAGAATGAACAGGGCTTGGAGTCCAGAACAATCCTGCTTTCCAGTGTTTTGAATTAAAGTCCAGGAGTGCGTCTACATTGTGTTCACATAACATTGTGGAGTTTGTCCTCAGGCCAAACGCAGGCTTTCTCAACCTTTGCTGGCGGATTGGGTGGACTTCCAACTGCCAGAATTCCCCAGGCAGGTTGAAGTCCACACATCTTCAAGCAATCAGGGTTGAAAAAAAAAAAAATGAGGCATTTATGCTGTGAACAATGCTTGCTTAACCTTGGCTTGTTTTAGAGGTTTGGATTGTGATTGAATTCTATGATTCAGAGTACAGAAAATGATCCAGAAAGTAATTAATTGAAGAACCCAAGGCAGCAAATCTTTGAATATCGGGGGTATAATTTTGGGAACCACTCGGGGAGATCCGAGCTGTGGATTAGTAGTATTGTAGTACTTGCCTCTGCTTCTCAGATGCATCAGATCAACAGAGTTTGGGCTGCTGTCTCTTTTAGGAGCCGCCAAACGAGATGCAGGATTCGTTCTCTTGTCTTCCTATTCTGTGCTAAACGTCCTGTCTTTCTCCTCTTTGCCAGGCTGTGCCTGCCTTTTGCGTGATCATCTGCACCAGCCATCAAGAGTAAGTACATTTTAAGTCTCTCCTTGGAGTAAGTGCAGGCAGTCCTGGCCTTAGGACCACACCTGAGCCCAACATGTCTGTGGTTAACTGAGACATTTGTTAAAAGGGAGTTTGGCCCCATTTTACGGCCTTTCTTGCTGTACTTGTTAAGTGAGCCATTGCAATTATTAAGTTGTGAAGTGAATCTGGACTTTGCTCCTCGTATCCTGGGACACTGCAGCCATCATCAACACGAGCCACTTGCCAAGTGTCCACATTTTAATCAGCCGACCAATGGGGGAGGAGGCTGCAACGGTCGTTAAGTGTGAAAAACGGTCATAAGTCACGTTTTTCAGGGCTGTTGTAACTTCAAACGGTCACTAAGCGAATTGTGCCTGCAGTTCCTGGACCCTGGGGCCTTGCAGCTGTGGTAAATGCCAGGTGCCACGCGTCTGAATTTTGATCACGTGACCATGGGGATGCTGTAAAGGTGAAAACCGGTCCTAAGTCTGCTTTTCAGTGCCGTCGGAACTTTGACCGCTAAACGAACGGCTGTAAGCCGAGGACGACATGTATCTATGCCTTTCAAATTCTTAAAAAGGTGCTGCTGAACCGCTCTGGTGCTTTTCTGCCTTCCAGTTATTCACCTCCAAACTGGAAGTGACAAAACCGGCCTACCTTTTCTGTTTGTTGTAGGAATTGGCAAGCAGCTGTGGGGGAGCTGGATCGGGTTCTTGTCCGGTTGTGTGAGTGAGTTGGATCAAGTGATTTGAGTTGTGACTGGCGGCTTCTTTCTCTTGCAGATGTTCCGAACAAGGCGCCAGCTGGACGAGCTTGTGGTACGTTTGGTAAGTTTTTAGTTCTGTCTTTCCTGAAACTCTCTTTGTTTTTAGCAACAGCTTGCCCAAATGCAAATCCAGACCGGAAGAGACCTTGATGTCTCTCAGAGGGTGCTAAAATGTGGTTTCTTTCAACCACACCTTTAGGAATAAACCAAGGTTTGAACCCAGAGTCTCAAGAAGGAGACTTAGCCAGCAAAACATTATTTTCCTCTCTGTATTTGGAGAGGGGATACCTGCACAGTGGTTGAAAAGCCATACAGGTGGTCCTTCACTTATAACTACAATTGAGCCCAGAATTTCTGTTGCTCCGTTAGACGCGAGCTTTGCTCCATTTTATGACCTCTCTCGCTACAGGTGTTAATCGCTGCAGTTAAGTTAGTAACACGGTTCTTAAGTGAACGTAGCTTAGTTGGGTCACGAAACGTCTGCAAGAAAACAGCAAACTCCGGGAGCGTGAGGGATCGCGCAGTGCTTCTCCTCTTCCACTCCTGCAAACCTCACTCCCTTCTAGCACTGATGAGGTTGTCTAGCCGGGTTGTGAAACGTCTGCGAGAAAGCCGCAAACTCAGAGAGCACCCAGGACCGTACAGTTCAGCCTTGAGCTGCAGACATTCTCTTCTGCGGTTTCTGAAAGTTTTAGCACGGATGCAAAAAAAAGGGATTTTACCCACTACGGTTCTTGTGTCAAAACATTCAATTAGCTGGATTAAAAGGTGTCTTCTGGTATTTAAAGAATCAAAAGAGGATGCTACGAAACTGCGATTTGCACCGAAAAAAATGCTGCTTTTTTTTTAAAAAAAAAATGTATTTAACTTCTTGTACCCCTGTAAATTCACACACTAAGAGTAGAAAAAGTTATATTTCTGTGCTTATGTTTGTGTAGATGTATCCCTACATATAGAGATTCAGAGACAGCTTACCAATTGATTTATTGTGGAATCACAGTTCCCTACAGTAATGGCTTGGGAACCCTGGGATTTGTAATTCCTCACCCTAGGCAGAAGCAGGGACTAGGCCAACCCTCTCTGGTAGTTTGCAAGATCCAGAGGTGCACAATGAAAGGCTCATCCTGGCCCATCCCACCTGCCCCAGAGAGGCAAACAAGATTGGGTTCTAGGGCCCATCCTCCTCGGCCTTTGTTCTTTGGAAAAATTAATTGGTTCTCTTCTCAACTGGCCAACATTCTTGCTCGCTGCGGGCGGGTGTGACTCAGAAACACACCACGTTAGTGGGTCAACATCCTGGGCTGAGCGTATCAGAAACTGGAGACGTTCCTCACCTAAAAACAGTGGGTGGTTTTTCCTCCTTGCGGTGATTCAGATGGCTGGGTGGTGGCAGTGAAGTCAGGCCCTTCTCTCCTTCTGACTTAGCTTTGGGGGATGTTTGGCATATTTGAGGATGAGGTCAGGTTTCCGCCTACTTCTCTCGGCTTCCGGGGAAGTTTTGAGAATAAAAATAACCATTGTTTAAAAGCCGGTGGGGTGAGACTGCTTCTTTGCATCCAGCCTCTTAATTTGCAGAAGCCACCTAAGTAAAGCAGTCACTGGTTCCCCAGTGTCATAGGGAACCTTCATAGGAAGGTTAAATCATGACATTCCATTATGATTCCAGTGGTTCTCAACCTTTTTAATGCCGCGACCCCCAACCGGTCGTAAGTCGGGGACTACTCAACCGGTCGTAAGTCGAGGACTACTCAACTGGCGCAGCACCGTTTGCAGAATGGGACTTTTGGCGGGCTCAGCAGGGCAGAGACAACCTGGACAATTCCTATTGGCTTTTGAAAGCCAATAAAATTAGACTCTGTTCAAGAGAGTCTATTCTGTTGGTTTTCAAAAGCCAATAGAATAAAAGGGAATAGCACAGCTAAGGAAAAGGGGAAAAAAAATGGCGGACTGCATTGTTTGGCGACCCCCGTGAAATGGTCGTTCGATCCCAAATAGGGTCCCGACCCACAGGTTGAGAATCACTGCATTAAGCTGTCAGGTCCTTTGCCGCACAAGGTAGTGTGAAGGTGGAAATTGTGTCTTGCCAACCCACGTTTAATGCATTGTGTAAATCTTATTGAAGTCAGACTTCTACAATTTTAGCTTTGCTGGGGTGGGTGATGCTGTTTTAGGAGCTTTCTAAAAGAGTTTGCAACCAGGACCAAAAAAAAAAGATTCCCATGCTGGCTCAGGAATTCTGGGAGTTGAAGTCTACAGGTCGTAAAGTTGCCGTGGTTGTTCATCCCATTCCTTCATTCCTGCTTGTTAGCCATCTTGCTTGTGACTGATAAAGACCTTGCTGGACAATCACCATTTTCCCTCATTATGAGAAAACATTCTTGTTGGATTAAACTATATATATATTGCTTGACCTCAGAAGAGAAATCAGATGATAAAATGACAAAGAGTAGTTCTTTTGTGAATCATTAAGGAAGAATTTAGACAATGTTTTACCTAGAAATGTTAAATCACTAACTTTCTGGGTGCCCACTTCCCTTTTTTTCGTCTTCTGGCGATTTGCCTTACTGCCCTGTGCACAGATTGCTTAATCATAGTGCAAAGGTTTTATGAGATTTTTTTTTCCCCAAGCAGGCAGTCAGGACTACAATTGGTGGGGGGAGGAGACATGCGTGCGCGCACACACCTACACACATATAAATGCACAATTACACTTGCATTTTTAAAAAAGCTCTTTGCCTATGGAAGTTTGCACATTTCTGGGCCTTGCAGTCCACAATTACGTCCAGTCTCCGTGATGATTCAAGAGAAGGAATAATATGTGGGTGACTTCAAACCTTCCCCAGGCAGAGGAAAAAAAATGGCTTCATAAAGCAGGGGTCTTCCAACTTGGCCCTTTTATGACTTGTGGATTTCAACTCCCAGAATTCCTCAGCCAGTCATAAAAGGGCCAGGTTTGAAGACCCCTGTCGTAAAGGAATATCGGAATGTGCCCGAGCTCAGACTTTGCACAAATGCCTCATGTGGTTTGCCTGACTCTTTTCTTCAGAAGAGCCCAGTCAATTATGCTTTATTCAACACACTGAGATTAAACCCAATTTTGGCTTAGTGGCATGCATGATCCCAGCTCCTGTTGGCACCTCATCTCACTAACATTTGTGGGCCCAAGACTGGAAGCCACTGGAATTTAAATGCAATGTGGCCTCCTTCTTTTCTCATTTTCTCTCTTAGTCTCTCTTACATCTTTCAATTTATTTTCCTTCCTTCCTTCCTTCCTTCCTTCCTTCCTTCCTTCCTTCCTTCCTTCCTTCCTTCCTTCCTTCCTTCCTTCCTTCCTTCCTTCCTTCCTTCCTTCTCTCCCTCCAACCCCATTTACAGATGGGAAATTCATCTCTTCCCATTTTCTCCCCCGCAGGGTTATCCTGCTCACTGTGTTCGTGCTCCTGATGTGCGGGATCGGAGCCAGCTGTGCCAAATTCTGTTGCCGTACCAAGCAGCCACTGCGCCAGACCTTCCCGCCCCACGCGCATGACCTCACCGTCATCCCCATGGAGCACGACAGCACTGCCCACAGCACAGTTACCTGTAAGTAAACCCCACCAGCCCTCTCTTTTTCCGACATTCTCTCAAAATCCAGAGTTTTGGGCCTGACTTGTGGGGACCACACTCCCTTCCTTTCCTCGCTTTGGTTACCGGCTGTTTGAAAAAAGCATCTGACAATCTTCAGAGTATTTATACAGCAGGCAAAGTTGCTGTGGCTAGCTAAGCAGGCTTATCTAAGTCCTTGTTGACATTGGAGTTTCCTGTTCTTCCCACTCTTGCAGGGAGAGAGTGACTTAGTATTAGTATGCTAGCATTTAGATTTAAAAACCACCAAACTCCAGAATGATTCTTTTTGCGAGTCACGAAGAATGAGTTGGGCAGCCATATAAATTTTCTTTAAAAAAAAAAACACACACACATTGCAGGACAACCTAATCTTTCTGCTTCCTTGTTTTTACAGCCTATAGCTCTCTCCAGTACCCACCCAACGTCTTGCTCTCATTGCCTTACGGAGACCCGGACAGGAATACGGCGTGTCCTCCGGCCTACAGCCTCTACGCCATAGAAATGCCCCCCTCCTACGACGAGGCCGTCCGAATGTCCAAGTCCCAAGCCGAGACACCCTCGCTGGGCCAGAAACCGGACAGCGGTGCCCGTGAACCAGCAGCGTCGCCGAGGGAGCAGCACGAAGCTCCCACGTTGCCCGAAACATCCGAAGACAGCCCCATGGAAGTGCAGGAGAGCCCAGGGGGTGCATCTACTTCCTCCCCCTAGTGGTCTCTTAGATAGGGGAAGAGGAGAACATGGACATTGGATCCTCTGCCTTCGCTTTGAGGGACCTCCACCAGCATCACCACTTCTGAGAAGGTGCCATTGGACATTTTGAGAGGACGGAAACAAGATGCTGTCCGTGTCTGAATTATCCAAGGTGAAACATAAAAGCTTTTGGGGTCACAAGACCACCCCCTTAGAGGCTAGCCGCCTTGAGCGCATTGGATTAGCAGAAAACAGCTGGCTGATGGGGGCCGAAGGGTCTCCATCCCGCACCCTGCCGTTGGGGCAGAAAAAAAAAAAAAAACCGAGAGCAAATACAGATTAATCTCTCTTTCTTGTGGGAAGACTGGATTTTCTAGCAAATTGCTGAAATACGGGATTCGTTGCTGTGTAACGGCCAAGCTTGGACCCAGAGCTGGGTTGTTTTGTTTTGTTTTTTAAATTTTTCCTACGATAGACTGGGGCAATATTGTCACGGTACCGAGGTGGAAACTCTTGCGGAAAAACCAAAGTCCTTTTGTTTTCTCTCGAATCAAAACCGGAATCTGGTTTCTCGCTTCCGGCGCCCCTGATTCCTTCGTCTCCTCCGAGGACATATTTCTGCGTCCAGTTGGGATGTCAACCCTGCGTTGGGATATTTGCCTTCCAGCTGCGGATTTACAGAACGACGCTGTCTTTTTTGCCAAGAAACCTTTGATTTCCTTATTTTGCATCTTAGCAGGATTCTGCTGGGCCACGAAGCGTTTTGTATTTTAGGTATTCGTCTTAAAAATGTTTATGTTTATATGTGTTGTATATAGAAGATCAATATATTGGGAGAAGGCTTATATAAAAACTCCCCTGATCAGTTTTTCCCCATTGATCTGATTCCTGGCAGAAAATTTTGGAACAAATCTGAATTGGTTTCTAATACTCGTAACCTTTAAGGAACTTGTGTGTTTGTGTTGTTTCTTTCCATTGGAATCGTTCAAGCCTCTGGAGAACCCCTGTTTCACGGTGCAGGTAGTCCTCAACTTAACGACCACAGCTGAGCCCAAGACTTCTGTTGTTAACGGAGACATTTGTTAAAAGTGAATTTTGCCCCATTTTATGACCTTTCTTGTCAGAGCTGTTACTGTGGTTGTGAAGTGAATCTGGCCTTCCCCCCCCCTTGATTTTGCTTGTTAAAGAACGTCGCAAAAGGGGGAAATCACGTGACCCTGGGACATTGCAGCTGTCATACGTTTGTGAGTCAGTTGTCAGGCATCTGAATTTTGATCATGTGATGCTGCAATGGTCGTAAGTGTGAAAAACAGGTCATTTTTTTTCAGCGTCATCCTGACTTTCAGCGGTCACTAAACGAACTGTTGTGTAAGTTGAGAACTACCTGTATAGATTTTAAGTGGCTGGGTGGATACCATCATCATCCTGGTTCAATACCAAAATGGCAGCTTCGCCCAATCCATTGGACTAAGACGTAACAAACCAGGTTACAGCTTAGCGGAAGACGCGACGATCCCTTTAGCTCCCCAACTCCTGGGGAGCTTTGAAGAACACACAGGGGCGCGTGCAAAGGACCAAGGCCACCCATTTTATTTCCAAAACCTCGTGGGTTAAAATTTGACCCGGGCTTTATTGACAAAACTCGGCGAGGACAAATTGGGTGTCCGAATGGTGGGTCTGCTAAAGGTTGAAATCGCGCAGTCTCCGCTCAAGAAGGCTTTTGTTTCGTCCTCAGCTTAAAGACTCTCGCGGCGTACCAGGGCTGGGACTGCGTGCCGCTGTTTGGTGTCCGGGTTCCGTCGCGGTTACCCCCCTTGGCGTCGTCGGAGGAAGAGGGAGCAGGCAGGAGAGACGACCCGAACCGTGTCTCATTGAGTCAGTTTGAAGGACTCACCCGTCATCATGGCCACAAATTCTAGGAAGGAAAAACAAATGTAGAGCAAGCAGGTAGAAAAGTCCCTTTTTTCACCCCTGTCCTTCCTTGCCTCCCCCCCCCCCAATTATGTTGACAGGATGCTGAACTTCAGCAGACTGGGTGGTTTTTCCACCCAGGACTAGCAATTCTCTGGGGCAAAATGACACAAGGTGTGGCTCGTTTGGTGGACCAGCGAATACGGTCTTGGAGGACACCGTTCTGAACGGAAGGTGGCCCCAATCCCCAGGCTACCTCGCTTTGTTTCCATGGGGTGCTGATAGGATTGTTCAGATAGTCCTCGATTTACAAGGGTTCAGTTAGTGACCCCTGAAAGCTACACCAGCACTGGGGAAAAAAAAATGACTTAGGACCATTTTTCCTACTTTACAGCCACTGCAGCCGTGATCCCCCTTTTCAGACCTTAAGACAAGCAAAGGGGAGGTTAGGTTCGCTTAACGACCGTGTTACTAAGCAACAGCGATTCACTTAATGACTGCGGCAAGAAATGGGGCAAAACTCACTTAACAACTGCCTAGCTAAGCCACGGAAATTTGGGGCTCAGTTGACAGAATAGGGGCTTCCCACGCGTGGTAATTTTAAGATAGGTGGACTTCCAGCTCCCAGAATCCCCCAGCCAGCCATGAGAAACAGTCTAAGGTGGGCTGACCCACTCAAAGTTAAAAGCAGCACGAAAGTCAAAATCCCCCGGCAATTTGAAATCTCAAGAATAAACACTAAGAAAGTCCCTGGAAATTTGTTTATTGCAAAAATGTGTATGTATAAATCAAATTTCTATCCAGATGGCGCCGTCTAGTGGACAATTGGAGGAATTGCCAGCCTGGGTGCTTTCCTTGCTTTCCCTGTAATTTCCCAATTTAACTTTTATTCTCAGCTTTTAACCAGAACTCTGGCTTTTGACTTCCAAGACATCTCGTGGGGGAGACTGTTTGTATCTTTGCATCAGTTGAAACAGGCCGTTAAGCAACTTGTTTATAGCAAACCTAGGCAGATGTTGTAACTTGGTTTCATTTATAGTAATAGTAGTAAGGTTGGAAGGGACCTTGGAGGTCATCTAGTCCAACCCTCTGCTCAGGCAGGAAACCCTACACCATTTTGGACAAATGGTCTCTTCTTAAGAACTTCCAGTGTTGGAGCATTTACTGCTTCTGGAGGCAGGCTGTTCCACTGATTAATTGTTCTCACTGTCAGGAAGTTTCTCCTTAGTTCTAGGTTGCTTCTCTCCTTGATTAGTTTCCACCCGTTGCTTCTTGTCCTGCCTTCAGGTGCTTTGGAAAACAGCTCTTTATTTTTAAATTTAAATTTATTTTATTTAAATTTAAATTTATTTTATTTAAATTTATTTAAATTTAAATTTATTTTATTTAAATTTATTTAAATTTAAATTTATTTTAAAATGGCTCTTTATTTTTAAAAGTAACCTCTACCAGTCTAGCTAACTGCAAAGATGGAGCTGGAAGACAGCACTGAGTTTAAAATGGAGGAACAGATGGTGCAGCATGAACAGTGTCTCAGCCGTATAACAAGCCAGCATCTAAATTCTTCCAGAGAAAGATATTCTGACAGGCAGCTTGGAGAGAAGTAAGAGCTTTTAATTCTAAAACAACTGTAACTGGGGAGGTGGAAAAGTTGCCAGTATTTCTCACTGTGTTGTCATATGATTGCTATGAAAACTGCACACCTGTATCCATATAGTCGCCATCGCTATTTACCAGCACTGTTGCCTTTTCAATGTTAAGAATTAGCACTTCTTCCCTCCCCATCCTCTTTCCTTTAGTGTCGAGATATTTTAGACTGTTGACCTGCAGGCCAGGAATTGTCTAATCCTTTCCAGGACCTTTCAATACATTAAAATATCCACACGGTCTTGATTTAGGTAGAGGTGACTCCAAACTGTATATTTTTCAATGTGACCTTTTGGCTGACATCATTGGATGATGTGCAGGATTATGCTTCCAAGTACCTTCGTAGTCAATGGTCCCATCCCCGTCCTTGTCGGCTTCCTTCATCATGAGTTCAGCTTCCTGTTCGTTCAGGGGTTCTCCGGCGTTCATCAATACGTACCTAAAATGGCAGAGGAGATGAGAAGGCTTGAAGTACCACTTACATTCTCTCCTTGGGCTCCCGCGTCAGAAGGCTCCACTTCACGCCTTTGGCTGCTTACTTGAGCGTGTCCCACTCAATGTAGCCCTTATGTTCTTTGTCGAAGACTTTAAAGGCGGCTCTGAGTTCCTCATCTTGATTTTTGGATTTCTCGTGGTAAATGCCCATCAACAACAGAAAACCATCACAGTTGAAGGTGCCTTTTTCTGGAGGAAAAAGAGATTACTGAGTCAAATCTGCCTAGACTTGCAAAGAAGCTATAACAGCCAGATTATTAGACATGGATCAGGAAAACTGTGAAGGACATGAAATCCTGGAGGACACCAAAGAGTGCCGGGTCAGAAATTTTTAGGAACCCAAGGCAACCCCTTGGGAAGGCAGACATCTTACTGTCTTTGTCGACATCCTTGGCCATGTTGACCAGGTCTCGCTTGGTGGGGTTGATCCCGACCAAACTCATGAGGCTTTCTAAATCATCTGTCTTCACCAAGCCGTTCCCTTCTTCATCAAACATCTCAAAGATGCCTTTGTATTCGGTGATCTGCTCTGGTGTTAGCGTTCCTGCCTGTGGTGGGGAATAGAGTAGAGTAGAATAGAATAGAATAGAATAGAATAGAATAGAATAGAATAGAATAGAATAGAATAGAATAGAATAGAATAGAATAGAATAGAATAGAATAGAATAGAATAGAATAGAATAGAAAATATGCAATGGGGAATGGAATATAGAGAATAGAATAGAATAGAATAGAATAGAATAGAATAGAATAGAATAGAAAATATGCAATGGGGAATGGAATATAGAGAATAGAATAGAATAGAATAGAATAGAATAGAATAGAATAGAATAGAATAATGGAATGGGAATAGAGTAGAATAGAATAAAATAGAATAGAAAATATGCAATGGAGTGGAATATAGAGAATAGAATAGAATAGAATAGAATCTTTATTACCACTTTCATTGTATGCTAATCAGCATACATTAAAATGAAATTTCATTGCATTCAGCTCTCAACACAAAATGAAAAACGTGTGCTTCATATAGCACGCACCAAAATGCACTTTACCAAAATGCAGGGGAAATATATTTTGAAATTTGGAATCAGCAACACGATCACTTTATCCCCTTTTACTAAATGATGGTGGGTCTTCTCATTTAGAATTCGAACGCACACGTTTTTATTCGTGCTGATGTTCACAAATTTTCCAAAGGATTGCAATTTTTTTTTTACCCGCTTTTCCCTTTTACCCCCTTCTTTCCTACGCTGTTTCTCTTTCTAGCCACCTTTTTGTAGTGTTTTACTGTGGTCATGGAGTCATCGTAGAAACCTATAAAGTTAAGCAAACTCAAATTTAAGTTTTCAGACCCCTGGCCTGGAGGAACATCCATACAGAGGCACAGAATAGTACAGCCCAATCGGTCAGGAGAAGCAACGCTTAGAAACCAGGACATTTTTCTGCAGAGGATAAACAAAACTTATCTGGGATTCTCTTATAGAGATAGCCATGAAAGAGGATGGTATAGCAAAAGAACTCCACTCAGCCCTCCAGCCAAGGATGAAGGGAATTATTTTTATAGAGGTTTCCCTTCCCGCTGTTTTAGAATGTTGCAGTTAGGGGCCAAATCTCATTTTAAAAAAAAAAATACCTGCCAACTGATTAGAAATAAGAGAGCAAACGGGAAACTAAAGACCCACAAATCTCCCACTAAGCAAAGGAGCCCTGAGATTCCTCTCCAGAAATAAGTACTTTTATAATTTATTCTTGGTTCAAAACTCACCATTTCCTTGGTATTTTCAGCCTGGGATGGCACCCTTCAGCTAACTGGTGATGGGGTAGGACATGCGGGTAGGACTGGTGGGGAAGCGACTCCTTTGTACAGCTAAGGAGAGAGTGCTGGAGCCCCTAAC